GTTTCGGTGTGGTGATCTTTTTTTGCCATTCTCGGTCTGACCCAGTTTTTTTTTTTTTTTTTTTACAAAAGATAATCATATATTGATAGAACAAAATAGACAGTTACATCCTAGAATTCAACCAGACCTAATAATCAAACAAACGACCTGTAGTCGGGTAAAAAGAAAAGGCTTTTCGAGCCACCAAATGAGCTACCCTATTGTTACGCCGACCTACAAATCATATAGTAAAACCCATGTTCCTATAAAAAAGTGGACCACCTCCTCTAGAATCGACCCCACGCGACTATCCCGAACATCCCGCCGAAGAATCTTCTCAATGATCACCTGGGCATCCCCTTCAAATCGCATGTCCGTAAAACCGCTAGCCAAACACCACACGATAGCCTCCCGGAGAACAAGCACCTTAATCATCATTGGGTCGTCAATCAACGGGAATTGAATCCCCTTAACTAAGAGGATCGCTCTATCAGGAATCATGATAACCATACCACCTGCCGAATGGGAACCAGTCCTCACAGCTTCATCCCACATACAAATCGCCACATTCGACCCACCTGGATCCAAGGGAGAAGCCTGAGAATGAGGGAGCTGGAGGGTCCGATCCACCGGAAGGCCAACCCATTCCTTTACCTGTTGGTTGAACTGCTGCATCAAGGCCGGGATCCCAAACTGTTTGCCCTCAAAGACAACCCAATTACGAGATCTCCATATCCGCCATAATACAACAACTACCGACATGAGTAGGGTTGGTTGATGTATCAAGGCCAACAATTTCTTCAGAAAGAGCGGGAAGGTATGACGAGGCAATCCTTCACCCAGGTGGGCAAGCCCAGAGTGATCCCAAAGGGCACGAGCAACCGGACAATCCAGAAACATATGTTCCAGAGTCTCCGAAGCTGCCCAACACACCGGACATCGAGGAAGTACATCCACCTTCTTTTCAATCAGGGCCTCCGTAGTTGGCAGTATTCGAAGGAAGATTTGCCAGACATAAACCTTAAGTTTCGGGGGAATATCAGCCTCCCATAAACGGATCCAACTGGCCTTATCCATCCAGCATGCCAGAGCCCTCCACCGACCTCTCTGACGATCCAGATTGACTGCAATGTAGTATGCAGATTTAATCGTGAAAACTCCATCGAAAGTCGCATGCCAGATCAATCTATCCTCAATATTCTGGCGAGGCAATGGGGTGGCTTTAATTGCTTGACAGATCTGCGGGTGAAACAAGTGATTGAGTTTCTGATCACTCCAACTCCCCTCCCCGGGCTTAATAACCTCTGCCACAGTCAGCACCTCCCCCTCAGGAATCACACAAGGATTGTAGACTGGAGGGAGGGGATGCTGCTGAGGGATCCAGCTGGAAGTGAGAAGAGGGGCTTTTTGACCATTACCAATCTGCCAACGTAACCCTGTTTCCAACAATTGGTGACCGAAGAGGATACTTTGCCACCCCCAGGAAGGATGGGACCTTGCCGTAGCCGTGAGGAAGGATCCATTAGGAAAATATTTTCCTTTGTAAACCTGGGCAATGAGGGACTGGGGTTCCAAGAGGATACGCCATCCAATCTTAGCTAATAAATCCTAATTGAAATGCTCAAATCGGCGATAACTCATACCCCCCTCATGTTTACTTTTGCACATATTTCACCAGGAAACCCAACGAATCTTCGGCTTCCCCTCTTCGACCTCCCACCAAAACCGTGCAAAATGTTTATCTAGAAGGCGACAGAGAGAAAGGGACAGCTTAAAGCAGGACATGACATACAAAGGTAAAACTAAGGCCACAGATTTAATCAGAGTTTCTTTCGCCGCCCAAGACAAAGTCCTACGTTTCCAACCCTGGAGTCTTGCCAACAACTTCTCCTCCAGATAATGAAACGTAGCCATCTTAGAGCGGGCTACCAAAGTTGGGAGGCCCAGATATTTATCTTGGACGCCCACTGCCCTGATACCAAGGATTGTTACCAAGAACTCTTGATCGGCCAAACCAATATTTTTGCTAAAGCACACAGCCGATTTAGCCAGATTCACCCATTGGCCACTAAGCTCCTCGTAATCATTGAGTACCTCGATCAAATTCTCACATTCCTGGAGGGACCCTCTAAGGAATAGATAAGAATCATCGGCAAAGAACAAATGAGAGATACGAGGCGCACGAAGAGCCACTTTAACACCTTGTAATTTCCTAATGAGATGGCTTTCCGTAGCAAAGCAGCAAACCCCTCTGTGCAGATGACAAAAAGCAAGGGAGAAAGAGGGTCTCCCTGTCGCAACCCCCTGGACGGGGAGAAAAAACCAGTCGGGGTGCCATTCATGAGAACTGAAAAAGTGGTGGACTGCAGACTCTTTTGTATCCACCCCCTTCCGACAGAGTTAAAACCCATTTTTTTTCAAAATCGCAAGAAGGAATGACCATTCGACTCTATCATAGGCCTTTTTCATGTCAACCTTCAAAGCCATGTATCCCTTCTTTCCCCGGGTTTTGATTTTCAAATAATGCATCAACTCGTGCCCTAAGAGGATGTTTTCCACAATCTGCGTCTCCCGGATAAAAGCATTCTGCCCCTCGGAGATGATTTGGGATAGAAGACCAGCAAGCCTCTCCGCCATAATTTTAGTGATCACCTTGTACACAAATTGACAAAGGCTAATAGGCCGGAGCTGACGTATTGTCTCCACCTGATCCACCTTAGGAATCAAAGTCAACCAGGTGTAATTGAAGCTTCGCAGCATTCGACCAATCTCAAAGAAAGAGCCAACCGCCTTCACCACCGAATCCCCAAGATCCCCCAGAAAGCTTTGAAGAATTTGCCCGTAAATCCGTCCGAGCCTGGCGTCTGTTTAGAGCCCATGGAGAAAACTGTTTTCTGGATTTCAGAGGGGAGGACATCAGCAGTCAGATTAGCATTCATTTTCTGAGTAACACAGAGGTCAATGGGAAGTTCTGCCACCCTCTCAGACATATTCGTCACCTAGGTCTCCGAGGTGAAAAGGGTATGATAAAAATTTGTGGCAATATCTGCTTTCCCATGTTCCTCAGAGATCCATTCCCCATCCTCATTATATAGACCAACAACAAAATTCTGCTTACGACGAGCCCTTGTGACTGTGTGAAAATAGGACGAATTCTTATCGCCTTTCTTCAACCATTGTACACGAGATTTTTGTTGCCAGTACACTTCCTCCGCCTCCCATTGTCTTTTAGTTCCGTTTCAAGACGGCTCACCATTTGCCAATCAATAGGGTGGATGGATTTAATACGCTCAATCTCATTTTGCAAGTTATGAATATTGCGCAGTGAGTTAGTAGTACCCGCTCTGCTCCAATCGTATAGCAAATGACGAAGTTTCTTCAATCTTTCTCATAATTGGAACATTGGTGTACCAGAGATATTCTCCTGCCAAACATATGTCACCATAGCCTTGACTTCGGGATTTTCCGCCCATCGTGCATCTAAACGAAATAAAGAGCGACACATCCGGACATAGGGCTTGTCAGAAAGCAGTAAAGCCCGGTAATCGGAGCCTCACTTTGGTTTATGGAATAAGTTGGGTGTTTTGAAAACCACATGGTGGTTTATAGCTAGAAAGCAAACAGCTGGTTGCCGAGGTCCGTGATCTCAAATCCTTTCTTCATACCGATGACTTGGCACAAGGCAATTTTCATTGACGTAACATTCTGTTTTGTAGCTACCGCCTACCAGACGGCCAACAAGCCTCAAATGTCTTTCTTATAAAGGAAGTGGTTAAGTTTGATTAAGTATCACACGGTATCTCTTCTAACAATTCGAGTTATTAGGATCAATTGGTTTATATATGGTTAGAGGTGTGCAACAGGTTAGTCTACCGGATCAAATTGATGCTTGGACGGCACTCACCAAATTGAATATAATATGGTATGATCTTTAGTCCCATAAATTTTATAAATACTGAAGAAAAATGAACCGAGTTAATATTTGAACCTGACCAAAATACAGAATGCACTGTTGTTTTCTTCCTAAGATGTATTTTACTATTGGATCTGGTTGTCTTGATGTCGGTCCGGACCAGACCATTACACACTTCCTAAACAAAATATCAGAACTTATTTGTCTTTGAGGTCGCGTGTTCAAGTTCTCATGATACCAAATATTAAAACACATTGTATGTTGGGTCTACGCACACTTCAAACTCATGATGAGTTGATTTTTCATTTGAACCGACATGTAAAATTTTTTATTGACTATCATACATAAACTTCTTTCAAGAACTCTAATTATACCCTTTCGTAGATGATTCAACATCTTGTTGATCATCGTTTTGCTCTTTTTTCTTTCTCCTGACCGTTTGGTCTTGTATATTCTCGAATCTTATTATTCCTACCGGAATATCTTTAATTAAAAAAACTCAAATTACAGGGACAAGTTGGTTTATAATATATTAATATTACTACCTCCGCCACGATTACAGTCATTTTCTTCAACCACCAGTGGTTCCTCCACTGTTAATTTCATATCTTGAATCTGTTCTTCCAAAATTCCACCACCATAGGATTACATTCATTTTCTTCAACCTCCAGTGGTTCCTCCACTGTTAGTTTCATATTTTGAATATGTTCTTCCAAAGTTTATGTAGGAACTGTGGCCAATGACGCTGTGGATCCATCCTCTATGATGCCTTGTTGGGCACTCAAACATATTGCATGAAATCAAAAGATCGATTTTTGCAGGGAAGGGAAATCTGCTCACTGCAGTGATATAATCATTACAGTTTTTTACCCATAGATTCTCAACTCGAATTCAGAACAAGCAAGAGAAGCTACATCACGCTCAATCCTTACTACCATGTTGATTGCTTGCATAGTTGCATTCAAGACAATCAAACCAAGAACCTACAAGAAAATTCTGGCTAGTTCGATTGCAATGGCAGAACCACAGAATTCCCATCCCATCTCCATTTACATAATTTGCTTCCAGCTTTAAAGAACCACACTCCTCTGTCTCCCTAACCCTTTACTCACAAGGTAAGCTTCTCCATCTCCCTCCTCAGCGCATTGGCCCTGACCAGGCTCCCAATGGTATTCACAGCAAGCTTCAAGTCCTCCAATGGATTCCCCGGCACAACCCTCTTGTACAAGTAGCTGTCGAACGTCATCTTCTGCACATACTCGTCGGCGCACATCTCCACGAACGCCTCCCTCGCAGGGTTCGATCTGTAGAAAACCTTCTGCAGCACATCGAGCACCTTGTACGTCGGCCAGTACGTCTTGTCCCACTTCTCAAGGTACTTCCTCAGATCACTCTCTTCCACCATCCTCTTCCCTTCCCCGGACCCTTCAACGATCGCCTCAGCGCACATCCTCCCACTCTTGGCCGCGAAGTATATCCCTTCACCTGAGCATTTCGTCACGTACCCTGCCGCGTCACCCACCAGAGCTACCCTGTCTAGAATCCTGCGTGGTCGAGGGTGCTCGGGGATCGGGTGCGCCTCCACTCGAATGATCTTTCCTCCTAGGATCTTGTCCTTGGCTCTGTTCCTTGTGGCCAGCTGGAACTTTTTGATGTCGCCTTTGTGTGTCACGGTGCCTGTTCCCACGGCGACGTGGTCCGATTTGGGGAACACCCAGCCGTAGAAGTCAGGGGATACATCGTCCCCAACGTACATTTCGGCTAGGTTTTCGTAGTACACCATCTTCTCGTCAGGGATCTTGATTCTCTCCTGTTTAGGGGAATCAAATGAAATTCATCAACTCCCGTTCTCACAAAAATTCACATACATGTTGATTACAGTTACAATTTTGAAAAGGGTTAGTAGCTACCATAGCTAGGGTTCTAATTAACCATCCTAATGGCCGTAAAACACTCTTTATTGACTATTGATGGCGTGAAATTACCTGGAAAGCAATGGCGTAGTCGTAATCCCCAGCGCCGATCGACTTGGCGACTCTGGAATTAGCCCCATCGGCGCCAATCACAGCGTCGACCTCCAGGGTTCTCTTCTGCCCAGTCCCGCCGACGGTCCCATCGTACTCCGTATAGTGCAGCACGTACGGCGATTCAACATTCCTGCTCCCTTTCTCCGGCAAATCCATCTTCAGAAACAGCCCATTGATGACATTGGCCCCAAATTTTTCCGCCCGCTCTCTCATATAAGCATCCAGCACTTCCCTTCTCACCATGCCAATATACTCGTGGGGCTTCAGCGTCCGGCCGATGTCGACGGCGACATTCGAGGGGGAAATCATCTTCATCTTCGTCACCCGCCGGTCGATGATGTCCAAGGGGATGTCGAACTCGCCGACCATGCACAGTGGGATGGCGCCGCCGCAGGGCTTGCAGTTGTCCATCTTGCGTTCGATGAGGTAGGTCTCGATTCCGCCTTTGGCGAGGGTTTCGGCGGCGGATCCGCCGGCGGGGCCGCCGCCGATGACGGCGACGCGGAGCTTGCGGTTGGGGAGGGCGGGGCTGGAGAGGGCGGCGGCGATTTGGAGGGCGGAGGAGCGGCGGGAGCGGTGGGAGGTGGTGGTGAGGGAGTTGGGGAGGGAGAGCTGGGTGGAGGAGGGCGGTGGTGGGCCGACGACGGCGGGGGACTGGCGGAGGCCGGTGAAGGACTTGAAGGCGACGGAGGAAGACATGATGTGTGAGTTTGAGGCGTAGATTTGGCCGGGGAATTTGAAGTCGAGGTTGTGGTTTATGGAAGATGAAGAATAGGAGGAGAGTGGAGAGTGTGAGGAAGAGTTGCTAGCTAGAGGGACGTATATTTGCAGAATACGGATGGATATGGTTTGGGATAGTTGAGGGAAAGTGGCCGTTGGATGAGCGGGATGGACGGTGATGATGGTGGGATCGGATTTTTCCGGGGGATGGGTTGGATTCTTTCTCCTTTTGCGAACAGTTCCGTCCTTTCTTTTCTGGCTCAGCTGCTGCCTGCTTGTCATGGTCTCTTTATCAGTCTTTGAAAACCCAATGGCTCTTGTTTTGCCGCGTCATGCAGAATTTTTTTTTATTGTTTTAATGACTTGAAAGGAATTGAGAAGATTAGGAGTGTGGTGAGCCGGGCTACGCTGCCGGTTTGGATCATGGGCTTTAGACTGTCTGTTTGCAAGCAAGCCCATCTATATTTATTTCCATGGGCTTCTTTTCAACTAAAAAACAACAATGATGACATTAAGTCCATCATCGATGCAAAACCGAAAACCGTCCTTGCACCTCCACTAGGTCCAATGGCAGCCTCGGGATTGTTGAGGAAGGGTGTCGTTGAATGAAGGAGTATCGGCTATTTAATTATTAAAGAGGTGTCGAAATCTCGTATTATATTATGTAAATATTGATATATGGATGACCAATGACCTACCACATTAGATGCTCACTTGGGAGTCACATGTAACCCCTATTTCTACATCATTATCTCTCATTCATATGCATTGATATAAGGATGTAGTGGTTACCAAAGTGTGTCTATAAATATAGCACACCATTGTATCAAAAGTGAGGAATGAATAAGAAGAACTCTTCCCCTCTCTTCTCTTGTGTCTTCCCCTCTCTAATCTTCTCTTGTAGTTGTTTATATATTCATTAGTTTCATAACACGTTATCAGCACGAACTTCTGCCAAAATTATCATTGCTCAAGCCTCAAAGACCCTCGACATAATCTAAGATATCAAGGTATGTAAATCTTAGATCCTTTCTTATCTTATTGCCTTATTTGTGTTGAGATTATCTCATTCCAACATATCAAGATGGGTGTTACTTCTCATATCCATTGATATTTTATCACGTCGATCTATTAGGATTAACAAGGAAAGTAATATAAGTGATTAGTTAATTTCTCAGTTCTCCGTGCTATCCTATTCTTATAAATCATACATTGATATGTAGAAAATGAAAGTTTCAAGAGCCCATATATTCCCCAGAAGTGGAAATTGAAGAATCCAAGGGTAAAGGAAGAAGTGGACATGGTAACAAGAAGATTGGTTTTGTATGTTACCATTGTAATGGAAATTGCATTTGTCTCGTACCCGTTGTACGCAAAAGACCTTATTCTATCAAGAATCTGTTAAAATTAAATAAAGTTAAATTATTAAAATTAAAACTCAGAAAGACCTAGAAAGAAGCTACGTGTGTGAAGTGTGTGCGGAGTGGAAGGTTGTAGAGAATGCATTAATGGGTTTGGCTGCAATTATAAGTGACTAAAGAATTTAAAAAAAAAATAGAAACCACAAATCTATGGCGGTTCCCAACTGTAAGTGCAGATTTTTTGTAAGTTCAAGCCTATAAATAGGCTGTGTTGTACCGTGTAAGGAGCAGAGCCAACAACAAGAAACCAATATACAAGAAGACACATTTCCTCTCCATTCTCTCTGCCGCCTACCATTCCATTCCTTCCTCCAAATAACCAACCAAGCTTCTCATTCCAAAAGCAACGTGCCCATCAAAGTAGAATAAGGAAATAAATTACTTTATTTCCAACAAAGTGGTATCAGAGCCGGAGTTATTTCCGTGTATGCTCTGTGGTTGCAGCGTAGTCTGAACTTCCACATCAGAAAAGAATTTCTCGTGCTATTGTTATCACGATTGTCCCATGGTCGAAAAATCCACTTTCCCCATTCAATTCCCCCACCTTACCAAAACCAATTATAAAAATTGGTGTATTCATATGAAAGCCTTGTTAGGATCCCAAGATGCTTGGGATATTGTTGAGAAAGGTTACGAGATTCCCGCGGAGGATTCTCGGGTATCTCCTGCTGAAAAGGAGGTATTGAGAAAAAATAGAAAGAGTGATCAAAAGGCACTCACTCTAATTCATCAGTGTCTTGATGAGTCGATGTTCGATCAAATAGCAGATGCTACCACAGCAAAGGAAGCATGGGAGATTTTGCAAAAGGAAATGCAAGGCATGGAACCAGTAAAGAAGGTTCGACTTCAGACAATAAGGGGAGATTGTGAAGCCATTAAAATGAAGGAAGGTGAATCTGTTTCAGATTACACCGCCCGTGTGAAGTCAGTCGTCAGCAAACTGAAGCAGTATGGGGAGAAAATTGAAGAGAACAAAGTGGTGGAGAAAATTCTACGGTCATTATTACCGAAGTTCGATTATGTGGTAGTGGCCATGGAGGAAGCAAAAGACGTGTCAAAGATGACAGTGGATGAAGTTATCGGCTCATTGTAAGCACGAGAGGAAAGGCTAAATAAAAGAAATGAAGAATCCTCAGAACAAGTGTTAGCTACAAAAGCTACCACTGAAGAGAAAGAAGGCGCACGAGGAGGAAGTTACAACAGAGGTCGAGGCAGAGGCACTTACCGAGGCAGAGGAAGAGGAAGAGCTCGAGGAGTATATCAAAACAGAGATGGAGAAAATTTCACCACGAACTATGAAATGTCCACCAGAGGCAGAGGTCGTGGTCGTGGACGTGGAAGAGGAAGTTGGAGATCAAATGAAGGTCGTGATAAATCCAACGTTCAGTGCCATAATTGCTCGAAGTACGGGCATTAGGCATCAGAATGTTGGAGTCCGCCTAAAGAAGTGGAGGAGACAGCAAACAACGTGCAAGAAGAAGTCAAAGGCACATTGATGCTGTCACATCAAGGAGATGAAAAACCGAGAGACAACATGTGGTATCTGGATAATGCAGCAAGAATCTCGCCATATGAGCATTCAACCTCCGTATAAGTTTCGACGGAAGACGAAAACAAGACATCACGTAGATTGGTAATGCAGAGGCCACTATTTTTAACAAAACTTCCTTCCCAGCCGCGGATAGAGCCCGCTGTTTCCACCCTTGAAGAACTGATAATAACTTCTCCTCAACATACCGAAACGTTTCCATGTTTTACTGTCCCATCAGAGAAGGAAGACCAAGATAATGATCCTGAAGCCCGAATGAGCCCACACCAAGACTAGTACTAATCTCCTCCTGATCAGGCTGAAGAAGATTTGGACTGTAAAAACTTGCAGATTTATGAAGGTTTACCTGTTGCCCTCTCAAACTTTCGTAATCCTGGAGTAAGCGCAGCAAATTGTTACCATCTTGATGCGAAGCCCGCAAGAAAAGATAGGAGTCATCAGCAAACAAAAGGTGGGAGATGACAGGACAAGAATGATGTATCCGAATCCCATAAATCTCACGCCGATGGATAGCCTATTTTATCTGAGCTGTAAAACCCTCAATACAAAGAGCAAAAAGCAAAGGAGACAAAGGATCACCCTGGCGAAGACCACGAGATGATTTGAAATAACCCGAGGGCTGGCCGTTCATCATGACAGAGAATGTAGTTGTGGTCACACACTCTCGAATCCAATCAATCCACTGAGAAGCAAAACCCAGCCTGCGTAAAAGAGCAAAAAGATACGGTCATTTTCATTGAGATCATAACTGGATTTAAGGCCCACTTGCAAACAAGTTTTACATAGTAAGGAGCTCACAAATGAAACCAAAGACAAGTTTTATTGTATTAAGGCCCACTGGCCCAGTATTATTTTTATAAAAACTGGCCCAGTATATTAATTAAATATTAATTTCTTAGAATCAACTGCAGCGAAGCTGCGTCTCAACTTTCTCAATCGAACACAAAAAGCAGAGAAGAGGAATACAAGGGAAGAGCACAGAGGTAAAAAGAGAGAACATAGTGATTTGTACACGGTTCATCAAACTATGACCACTCCATTTCCAATTAAAAACTGGACGGCTAAATGGCGCCCTAAATTTACTAGAATCGCCCTAACTTAAAATGTAAAATTACTTAACTATCCTTTATTAATAAAAAAAAGTTCAACAAACAAATAACCCCTAAAATGGATAGTTCTTCTTCATCTCCGTTGATAAGGATCTCCAAAGTCCAAACGTCCGTCCGCCGACGACTTTCTAGAGATTCTTTATTCACCGGTGACACAATCCACCAACGGCGGCCGACCTCCTCAATTCCAAACGACCCTCTATCGCCATTCCTTCTCCCCAACTACGTGTTACGTTCGCCAATGGCCCCGTTGCTAGAATGAACCACCGTTCTTCATCGAATGTTAGATTGGAAATTACACCATGGTGCCTTATGTATTCAATCCCCAATTCTCTACAGCCTCGTTGGATCTCCTCATCTATCGGTAGTGGAAAATAATTGCATAAAGAGGAAATTAATTGATATCATCAGGCTTAATTTAATCTTCCCAAAATTATGTTGGTGATGAATCTCTAGTTATAATCACGTCTGTCTCTTCTCAGTTCTCACCATGTGTGACTCTTTTCCCTCTCCCTGTTACGGTGCAATATGAGGATGGCACTGAGATGAAACTTAGCGGGAGCTCCAGGCCGACCTAAGAGGATGGCGGCGGCAGGCGGCGATGAAATCAGGGGCCGGTGACCGGACGGTTAATGTCAACCGTCAATTTTTGTGTTTGTTGGATGATTTTTTTATTGGAATAAAAAATATATTATAACAATAAAAGAGATATAAGGATAAAGAGGTAATTTTAACTCTAAATTTAGGGCGATAATTAACAGCCCTCAATTAAAAACACCCCGTTAATTAAACTAAACATTAAACCGTGCTGGCTCTGCCAGATCCGCTCACTCGTGTCGCCCAATCAAAAAAGAACCCATTAATTAAACTAAACATTCTCATAATCTAATTGGCCTTTCGCTTACTTTCAAAACCACAATCTCCACTGCTCTACAAATTAGCCAATCCCCTCCACCCACGTGTTCCACATCAACGTGTTCACATCCAGCAACTGACACACGTCCATTTAGCTGTCGGCGTGAGAAGTATCTACCAACTATAATTAATATACTTGTTTGTGGTGACGACGTGTTGCTGTTCTTTCTTTCTTTTGTTAAAACTGCTAAAATCCTACCACCCTTTTTTTCTGTTATCACCAACCAACCACCCTCTGCCTCGTGGAGCAACGCCATTGGCCCTGCTCCCCAATCTCAACACCAGAAAGATATTTTTGGATACTTTCTTCTTGTGGAGCAATGGACAGCCAACACATCAGCGCTTTCAAATATGGAAAGAAAACATTCTCAAGGAAGGAACTTTTGGGCGGTCCAACCATGACAATATTATTGGTCTACACGTGGCTTGGATGGATCGGGTTTTCGATTTGTGAATTTTGTGAGTATAATAATATGGAACTCCACAAGATATTTTCAGTCCTAGTCACCAATCGTTTTATGGAGATATCTCATGTCAAGATCTCAGTCCTAACTCCTAAGTAATTACCGATCACTAAGCACATCAATTTAGATCCCTAGTAGACATTATTAAGTTGTATGCAGACAAAATGAGTTTCACACTTTTTTACATACTCATATACATATTCACATACAATTTTTTTTTATTAATATCATCTTTAATTAGAGTTGTTTGACTTGGAAAATTACAAAAAAAGATTCGAAATACTAAATGCACGTCTCACTGGGATATCTAATCGTCAATTTTGTAAATGTAATGATATTCTTGGAGGATACTTGATCCAATCATATGATCTCAATTCCAATATTTAGGTCAGAAACAGAGCTGAAAGTTTCAAATAAAATGAAGACCTCGAGTAGTTTTTATCATTCTATTCGTCCGGTTTGTATTCAACATTCAAAACTAAACAAAACGGATGACATGATTGGAAGAGTCAAAGACACTGCTTTTTCTTCTTCTTTCTTTCTTTGTTAGTTTTGGATTAGGAAAGGTATTTATTAAGTTTGTTGGAGTTTAAAAAAAAGTGGTTATTAGTTAAGTTATTCTTACCATTGTGAAAAGGTTTGATGTGGTATCGTTGAAGCTAGCTAGTCATGGCCATCTGTCACCATTTGTTTTGTAATCAAAACAATTGGATCATTATTTGTTAATTCACATGAGATGAAGATGAAATTAACTATAAGCCAACATTGATGAAGTTCATCTCAACTAGCAATAAGATTTAAAGACTGTGGCCCTTCGCCGGTAAGGATGCTGCCAAATCACTTTCCCAAAGAGGAAAGTAGTGGCCAGTGGGGGAAAAAAAAAAGATTATTAGTGACGCTTTAGGAGCGGGAGGAACCAAAATATCTAAATAATATTTTGGCAGTTTGTGTTCATCAGTACACTCAACACAACGCTGCCGCTTATGCGAGAAAAGTCCAATAGGAAAAGTCAAAAACACCCCCCCAGAAAAAGCAAAAAAAATGCTCATTTTACATTTATAAAAACCATGAACATCGAGATGCCCGTACTCTCTCCACTGATCCCTTTCCTCTCCCAGTCTTTCTTTCATTACCCTTTCTCACTACTTCTTTTCTCGCCCCTTCCGCAGCTAGCTAAATCTAGTTGGCAGTTCTTTCTAGTATTGTTATTGTATTTTAATATGAATCCAAGGGGCGGCCGCGGTGGAGGCTGCAGCGCCGGCAGCAGCTCGGCGTCAATCGCCGCCGCGGGAGGCGGAGGAGGAGGGCTTCCTCGGCCAATGGAGGGGCTCCACGACGCGGGTCCGCCGCCGTTCCTGACCAAGACTTACGAGATAGTGGAGGATTCCAGCACGAACCACATAGTCTCATGGAGCAGAGGCAACAACAGCTTTGTGGTCTGGGATCCGCAGGCTTTCTCCCTCACCCTCCTCCCCAAGTTCTTCAAGCACAACAATTTCTCCAGCTTCGTCCGCCAGCTCAACACCTATGTAAGTAATTAAGCAAACCCTCCCTTTCATCCCCCCTTCGAAATCAATTCGTTTCTGAGTTTTTGCCCCCAAAAACAATTGGCCCCCATGATGATCTTCCATTGATTGATTCATGGTGTTGTTTAATTGTGATTTCATGTGGACTTTGGGTTTCCAATAACTCGGATTCGGAAGGGAAAATTCTCAAATTACTAAGGGTTATTAATGAAAATTCATACAACACCATAACTAACAAAAACTAAAAAAAATTCTAAAATACTAGAGTTTGACACGGTTCGCTCTAGTGCCGTATGGAACTATGCGTTAATTAGGTGGAAAGAAGAGTGATCTATTTTTCAGGATTGATTCGCTCCTTTCATATGGCGCGCGCGATCTGTGTTGGTTTGATGATGTTGGTTGGTAATTAGATGTGAGACGATCTAGCTGGATTGGTTTCATGTAGATCGTTTCTGTCTCGAGCAAGTTATTACTCAGTTCGGTAGAGTGAACCATTCTTGTATTTTGAAGAACTGTTTTTTTTTTGTAAAATCATCTTTTATTATAGAAATTTATCTGAAAAATCTCTTTTTGTATTTTGAGAATTTTTCCAATTCAAAAATTCTATACATTGTTCATAGGGGGGATGGAGCCAATGCACATAATAATTTTGCGTGTTGGGTTGCTTAATGTTTCTCTCGTCTTTTGGTAGGGGTGGACTACCACTACCACTGGAGCATGATTTTGATTTGTGAAATCACAGTTGATTACTATTACTCTTAAGGGGAAAAAGTAAAGAAATCGGTTTTTTTATCGAAGTTGTTGTGATACTATATTACTAGGGATTTAGAAAAGTGGATCCAGACCGATGGGAATTCGCCAACGAAGGGTTTCTGAGAGGCCAGAAGCACCTCCTCAAGCACATCAGGAGAAGAAAAGGTCCTCCTCCCCCTCAACATCCGCAGCTGATGACGACAGTGGCGGCGGACCCATCTTGCGTCGAGGTCGGGCGGTTCGGTCTGGACGGCGAGCTGGACCGGCTGCGGCGAGACAAGCAGGTTCTGATGGCGGAGCTGGTGAAGCTGAGGCAGCAGCAGACCACGACGAGGGCGTGCCTCCAGCTCATGGAGCAGAGGCTGGGCCGGACCGAGTCGAAGCAGCAGCAGATGATGGCGTTCCTGGCGAAAGCGATGCAGAACCCGGACTTCGTGCAGCAGCTGGTGCGGCAGAAGGACGTGATGAGGGAGCTGGAGGAGGTTATCAGCAAGAAGAGGCCGCGGCGGAGGCGGCGGGTCATTGAGCAAGCCGGGCTGGGTGACGTGGAGGATGTTGGAGGTGGGTTTGTGAAGGTTGAGGCTAGGGAGTTTGGTGGGTTGGGGGAGATTTCTGAGCTAGATTCGTTGGCTTTGGATATACAAGGGCTGAGCGGTGGAGGTGGAAGAGGGAGGGAGAGGGTGGAGGGAGATGGTAATGAAGGGATTAACGTTGATGGTGATGAGGAAGAAGAGGGGTTTTGGGAGGATTTGTTGAATGGTGAAATTGGGGAAGAGATGGGTTTGATGCTAGGTGATGGTAATGAAGATGATGATGATGAGGAGAATGTAGATGTGCTTGTGGAGCAATTGGGTTTTTTGGTTTCTAATTGATCGATTTAATCAATCACGATTTGTTTTGTTTTTATTTCGCGTAGTTTAAGAGAACGGGATGAAGTACTATTGGACTTATTTGTAGGTATGTGATTACCTAACCTATGAATGGTATGAATGTTTCGAACTGAATCGAATTGAATTTGATGATGATGATTTCTTGAGAGAAGTGAGTTCATTTGATTGACCTACGTACCTTCACATATGGATGCCCTTAACATGTCTAACTCCTTGTGTAACTTGAACCCCTGGAGGTTGTTGGCATTGAATGCAAGAGCAAATGTAGGTGATAAAGTGAACAAAGTTTGATTTCAACTCGAATTTGTCATGATTTACAGGAATGGTTACACCCAAAAACAGCAACTAGAGAACTCTAGAATCTAGACCCATCTTTCCTATCTATATGTTGCTCGAAGTTTGCACTAGCTAGATTTGTTCCTTTCATTTTCATTAACTGCTTGTCCATTTCCCATGTAACGCATGGTCGGAATTGCTCGATAAATATGTGGCCAGTAATTATTTTTCTGCTCCTGCAAGCTTTGCTGCAACTTGCGGCCACAATCTAGCTAGTGGCTTGGTCGGTTATATATAGTTTATCTCAACCGGCCTGGTTTCTGCTCATATCGATCTGTACGTTTGAGCCAACTTGCAGCTAGCTAGCTAGCTAGCTCTGCTGCCCTCTTGGTACAAATTTCATATATAAATAGCATATGCTACAAAGGTTCACACCTTGAACGGGCATGCAGCAGACAGCGGCAAGCAGTAGCCGCCCACCTTAAATATGCCCATTTTATTAGCTAGTTGATCATATGACATGCCTCTCAAGTAAACTTTCTGAAAGTTGTAACGACGCTTCTGAGTTCAATTTACACAATTTAAGATTATTTTGGAAAAAACATTTCTAAATAGTCACGACGACAAAACTATAAATTTGAGTCGTATGCTTCAATAATTTTTTTTAATGATTATATGCCCTCGTAACGTCAAATTTATGAATGTGACTACCTATTTAAAAAAAAATGAGTGGACATTTCCTTTATGTTTCCTTCTACTTGGTTCTAGACATCAAAGCAAGCTAATGTCTGACTTTTCTCTTCTGTTTCCAAATGATGATGTGAAACCCTAATCATGGTCCTGGAGCAGAATAATTGACTGAAGTAGTGAATTAGACTTCAAGACCACACCTATGAGTAGTGGCGGACCCAGAAATTTTACATAAAGGTGTCCTTTTTTAAAAAATAAATTAAATAAAAAAATTATTAAAAAATAAAAAATTCTTATATAAGAAAATACCTGAATTGTACGAGTTAAAAAAGTCCACGATGTGTTTTCATATTTGAAAATAATTGTAAAGTACACTTGGTGTCACTCCTCAAAAAAATAGTCTTTGTATATCTTACTAGAATCATTCACGAACTAATCACATATTCGATTTTTACACTTGTTCTTGATGTAACTCAAACCTGAAAAGACTCTTTCAACACTTGTCGTACAACATTGTTTAAAATAATTTGTTTAATTGTTAGGTTTTGAAAATAATTAGAGATAGTGAATGACATTTTACTATTACACAGTATTTAAAATCGAACAAAAAATGAGTTGTAGTCTAAAGTTAATTATTTTTATTAATAATAATAGTGTCATGGGTTTGAATTACTCAAACTATAACTTATATTCCCATACGCAAACTAAACGATGAGAGTAGGATAATTATTTTTTCAAATTTCAGGGGTGTCCCCGACTATCAATTATAATTTTTTTTATCCATACGTAATTTACCACCGGGGAATGAATAATCATTTTCGCAAAATTTAGGGGTGTCCCCCGTGCGTCGGCCCCTGCCTATGAGTAACTAAATCTGAAACTTTAGATCTAAGTGAACCCAGAAAGGTGAATAACCATCAGTAACCTGTCCACATCCGCATGACATCAGTAAAGTCCAGATTTACTTTTTAGCAGATTAACAATAAGGAATTACTATTTAGCTAAATTAATTATTAATTAATACATAACAATGTCAGTGTGATGCGGAATTAAGTCTAGCATATTCCATGCATTATTATTAAATGTTGGTTCACATGATGACTGTGCTGTTTCTGCTCTTCCCATTGGCTCTCTCAGATACTTAATTCATCCTTGTAATGATTTCGACTCCTCTCTCTTCTTGGTTTCTTTTTCTGGAATTCTCTATTGGGGTTGGACCGGTATGGCACCAGGCCAGCTCTCTGTTGATGGAATGGTGTGATAAAAAGGTGCAAAGTGATGTCTAGATATGGAAGTTCCCTCGACTGTGGGGAGAATCTATATCTATCTCAGTAGTACTATTTTTAAGTTGGTTGAGTTGGATCATAAATTGGCATGAGTTGGATCTGCTCCCATTTCTGGCCCTATTTTTTGGGTTGAAAAGCTCCCCAACATCTAAGTATGGCAACCCAAACCTAACTTTCATGAGCTTTTGCAGTCCTCCATCATCGTGTTAGAGGAAGTGCTGCCTGAAGATAAAACAAAAAAAAAGCGTATCAAGTTATTGATTTGTTGTCCCTGTCAAGGGTTTGGTGACATGCTTCTTTTAACTTGGAAATTCGTTTGATAACAAAGCGGGGGAAGGATGGACATATTTTGGTTTGAACATTTCAAACCCCATGGATAGATATGAGGCTATGAAAATTTTGGTTAAAACCTGGATTTATTATGGAATTACTGAAATTGTAGTTCGATTAGTCGGAGCACAATGGTTCATTATGGACTTGAATAATTTCATTGTTTGCTTGTTGACTTTCCTGATAGATTTTGTTGAATTAGATATATGAGTACGAAACGAGCACGGTTCTTCTATCTTCGTTAGGCTTTCAGCTTCTCCAGCCAGGCCCCCAACCAGCTAAAACAAGAAGCTATTGATTTCTTGGTTGCAAACTTCTAAGTACAGGCCCATATAGTCCCTGTGGCCCACGACTTTGTCATTTTACTTGGGCCCCCAAATAACTTTGTCCCGGGAACGGGGCAGCAGCATAACGTTGAAAGCAATGAAAGGGACGGGAAAGAAGTTTTGTCTCCGTCCGCCGACACACCTCCTTAAACCCTTCCCGTCCTATCCGTTAACGCGAAAAGGCTGAAGGATACATATCGCCTTCAGCAAAACGCGTCGCCGACTTCCGTTTCACCTCGCCTTCCACTCCACACCGTCGATTCACGATTTCAAGACGAATCTGGTCCTCTCATCCAACGGTTCCAAAGCTACGCATAACAATAGGTTAGATCTGGTTTGGCTATTGGAGAAGCTTATGCGAAATAATAAAACGAACTGGACCACAAATCTCTTCGTTGAAATTTTCATCGAGCTGTAAAATTCCGCCGGCGACGTGTAACAACAATACATGCACAACGAAGACGAAGGAAACAAGACCGTAATAAGTCAACGAGGAATTGTGGGAGTGGAAATGTAATTGGTGGCACGTTTATGCTTGGAATATAATTTCATTAACCATGCCGCTTTGAATTGTCTAATTACCGGGGGAAAAAAATGGAACTATGATTATATAGTTAATTGAAGAACGGAAATGAAGTTACGGTATTTTTTTTTTTTTTTTTTTGAGGGAGAAGTTACGGTCTTAGAACTTAATGGATTAGGACTTTGACATCAGGCATGAAATTCGTGTGTAAGTTTGGATGTTGCCTTTTTTTTATGCTAACCGAAAATTACTTATCATACTTATATAGACCCGTGAATTGCATGCAAACTCATCATAGTTGAAAATTTGGTTTAAGGGTGGACTTACGGAAGATAGTTTGCCTTTAAATTTGAATTAGATGATATTAAAATTATGTTTATATTTATCAAAAATTAATATTTGAGGGTCTAATCTATATTTGGTTATCTGATAAATTCAAAAAAAAAAAAAAAGCAAAACACTTCATATCGGGGAGTACACGATTGTCATTCCACGAGTTTGTAAAATTGATTTATAAATTTTACATGAAATGCTGAGGACATAAAGATTACAAACGGTTGGTTATATACTTATATTTACAAACTTATTGTTCATAATTTACAAATAAATAATATATTATATGCTGTAAAATATTGGTTTGTAAGTTAAATACTTTATAAATAAAGTATCCAACAAAAAGTAAAATAAAATAATAGTGTTACTTTGCATTGTTTCTCTTATAGAAAATTAGAAATGTTGGGTTGGCTTTGTTTTCTAATACTTATTGCAAATTAGAAAACTTGACAACTCTAACAGGGATGTATCACCTTCCTAAATTTCGTAATGACTAAAATACCCCCGCGGTGGGAGGGCAGAACAAACTGGGTTGGAGCAAAAAATAAAGGACGAGACAGTAACTTCAATCCTAATTAATAACCATGACGAGGAAAGGAAATGGGATTGATGGCAAAATTAGGAGACTGATGACTTCCTTCCTTCCTTCCGTCGTAAGCGAACCAAACAGTCTTTCACAATTGGTTTGCAAACGCCTCTAGAATTTGTCATTCCTCTTCCTTCCTTCGTCGCCTTCTTTCTCCGCCAACAAGCTCGGTCAGACTCTCTCCTTTTTCCAGTATCGCCGCCGTCCGTCGGGGAAGATCCGACAGCTATTCTTCTCCCTCTCCCTCTGCAATGCTGGCTGAGATCGCCGGATTCGGTCTCTGAACAGTGTTTTGACTCTGAGCGCTCTACCGACGCACGGAAGGGAGCACCGCCGCCGGCGAATTGCGAGAATGGGAGCCGCGCCTTCTTCCCCGGGCCATAGTGAGAAGCGTCCGGCGGAAACGGCGGAGTATTTAGTTGGAACATTTGTCGGTGAGAAATCTTTCCCCCTCGGTTCAGATTTCTGGCAGAAACTCTTGGAGCTCCCTCTCCATCTACGGTGGCCTGCTGATCGCGTTCGTGAAGCATGTCAGCTGTTTGGTTAGTTTTTCTCGCATTCTTCCCCTCTTCCACTAGGATTTTTTTTTCCCGATCATAAGTCGGAATTAGTAGTTAAGTTCACCGGAGTATCAGGTTGATTAGTTGGCGGCATTTTTGTGAACTTCATATTCGTGCTAGAGCATGTATCCGGACTAATTCGGAAGGTCCAGTTGCATTATAGAATTGCTTGGGGATTTCTCTTGTTTGCTGAATCGGATGGTCTAGGGCGCCATTAATGGTCAATCGAATGCTTTGCTTGCTATCTTGACTAAGTAAAATTGGGATGTCAGACTGGAAGGATCATTGAATTTGATTTTAAGCGTTCTATTGTTTCTGGTCATAGCTATAGTTTGCGTTTACTGTTATTGTGATTTTCACTGCCAGCATTGATGGAACTGTCCGCTTGGTATCTTGACTTGGTAAAATTGGGATGTCAAACTGGAAGGATCATTGAATTTGATTTTAAGCGTTTTATTCTTCTGGTCATGGCTCTAGTTTGCATTTACTGTTCTTGTGATTTTCACTGCTGGCATTGATGAAACTGTCTTTTGTTTGATTTGCACGGTTTACATGTAGCACAAAACAACTCTTGCACCAGGCATCTCGCAAAGATACTCATTCACCTGGCGCAGTGTTTGCAAGAGTGTATGTCAGTTTCTGGTGCACCATTAGCCGCGTATGTGAAGGCTAGCAACGCAGCATACATTTCCTCTGTCTTTCTCAAGCACCTAATAGAGAATGCTCAAAGCAACAGTGTCGAGGGGCTATATCTTTCACTGAATGCCAGTGAGCCAATTCCTCCAGATTTCGTTGTAGGTATGCTTTTGCTTCGGTAACTTGTCCTTACGTGATGCTTCTTCCACAGAGATGAAGTGAGTGAGTTGGTTTCGTTTTTTATTTTCTCATTTGAAGTTCTGTGGGATGAAAGCTGCGTTACATATTACTGGATTTTACAGAATCGATGGAGAACTAGTGTGTATGGTTTTGTCTATTAGCATTATCGGCTAATAGAAGTCATGATTCCTGGTTGACTTGGGTATTTGCCTGCTGCAATCCATGAGCATACTTCTCATCAAAGTGTGCAATTGCTGCCTGTTTCCAATATTTGAAATGTGCTGTAATTACTGGTAAAAGACTTGTAGAAAAAAAATAGAAGGTGATGGTGTGATTTAACAGTAAATCTTGGTCGCTTGAAGCTGTAGATGTTTGTGATGAATGCCCCTTCCCAACATCTTTGGGTACATATAAGGTTTCTGTTTTCTGGCATAAAATCATGGCTAAAATACTTTCCAATTTTTGTCTGCAGATCAGAATGTTGAACATCTTGTCATGCATAATGTCCTCAAGTTTATTGGTTTAGTAGATGTCAGGTATGGCATGGAAAGCTATGATTTGCTTATTGTAGTCGATATTTGCATCTTCCCCACCTAAAATGTATTTGTGTTTGCTCAAGCCCAAACACATGTAGCCTGCATCAGGAGTTGCTCAACTTCTTGTTTGTTGCGTTGTCAACTCAACTGCTGTACGCGCCAACTCCTGGACCAACAGATATGAACCCATTCATTGATGCTGCGATGACTCAGGTTAGAAGATGAATTTCTCCTTGTTCATTGCTCTCAAGTTTCTTGGTCCTTTCCACCAAAAAAGAAGATAAGAGTTTCTTGATCTTGAACACCTGTCTATATTCTATAATATGCAGGAAAGCTCCTTGGTTACTATGGTTGTTCACAGGTTGCTGCTCAATTACATAATGCGGCCTCGAATCGCCTTGAATGTTGGCACTTATCTTCCATTTGGAGAGGCAGGGCAGCCTGGTGTGCTGCAGAGAGTGGGTTCTGCTGCTGGTAAGTTATTGTCAGTTAACTGTAGAGACAATCCTGTATTGGTAATCCCCTTGTGAGAGTTATTTTGCTGAAGTGTTTTATTTCAATAACGAAAGTACATCAAAGTATTTTCTTCTCACATTTGAGAATGTTAAGGGAAAAGAGAAGCACTCGATGATTTGTCTAAAAAAACTTAAATGTATGTTTTATGTGACTGTTTTGGGACAGAAGAATGCGCCTCTGCGGTCTCTTTGCTTTTGATGTTTTTTTCCATTCAGCTTTATACTCCTTCAACTGACATTCCTTTTTCTTTTGTTGCGTTCGTTAGATGCTGATTGACATTATCATGGTTGACTTGCAGCTAACTTGGTCTTACTCCCATTCAACTATTTGGTTAGTTCAAATGGGCAAGGTGTACGGAACCCGCTAGCAGAGTGCAGCCTCCATGTGTTGCTTATTCTTAATTATTATCGCAAATGTAACCCGGGAGATGAGTCCATAACAGACACAAGTGATGACAGCGGAACGTCAGATTCTTTTTCAAAATCGTTTGTTGAGAACCCCTATTGCAAAGCTCTGGAAAATATGAGGGATATTGACCGTAAGAGGCCTCCCTGCTTTTGTATCGCTGCTTTTATAAAACAAATGGCTTGATGACTTGGTATTTGGATTATCTCCTCGTTAAATGCCTATGTGTTCGCAGTTGATCGTGTGGATATTGAGAAGAACGCACACAATCCTTCAGTTGTGAGGTTGCCATTTGCGTCACTTTTTGATACTCTTGGAATGTAAGTGTCCTCTCTCTCTTGTTGCCTGCATTGTGTTCATTTTTATGCTCTGACATGCCTTATGTTAATTGTTCTTAGATTTCTGTATCAAGTCCAATTCTGATTGAAGTTAGAACCACTCATTCATTGCACACACATAGTTAAAATAGTCAGGGGAAGATAAATGTATGAATACCAGTAATTCAATTCAAACTCAAAGCTACCATGCATGTCTGCTTCAATGGTCTCATGAGACATCAACTTTAGTCGACCAAGTCAGAGCACTTGTTTAAAGGCTGTTAACCGACTTTTACTGTTGTTAGATGGTGAATGATTTTCTAGTGTCTATTGATTTGACATAATCATGGCATGTATGTCCCAGAGTAATTCACTACAGATTATTTGTCCTGCAGGTGCTTGACTGATGAAACAGCAGCTTTATTGCTTTATACATTGTTGAATGGGAACTCTGATTTCTTGGAATATGTTCTGGTGCGAACTGATGTAGATACACTGGTATGAGTATCAGTTTAGCCTTGGATTTTGTCTTCATAGTAATTTGTAGTAGCAAATTCACAATAATTTGGCAATTTTTTAGCAGCAGCCTAATATGGCGTGCTCTTTTGCATTAACTTGCAGTTGATGCCAATTCTGGAGACTCTATATAATACCTCAAGGAGGTCGTCTAATCATATCTACATTTTGTTGATTATACTTCTCATATTGAGTCAAGATTCTTCATTTAATGCGAGCATCCACAAGATGGTAATTAATTGCCTCCATTGGCTTCATTGTTACTGTGTGTCGCTTTGCTTCTCATCCTAGTTTATCTTGCCTCTTTTGCTTACAGATATTGGCTAGTGTTCCATGGTATCAAGAACACCTTCTCCATCAAACGTCTCTTGGCTCCTTGATGGTGATAATCCTGATAAGGACCGTGAAGTATAATCTGTCCAAGTTGAAGGTATATTGTTATGTTATCATTATGGCCAGACAAATCACCATTGGTTCTCTTGTGAATTTTCTTGTGATTTGTTGACGATTTACCTGCACTGCATTTGGCTTAGTGTCCAATGATTAATTTGACATGCACCAATTGAAGCAACAACAGGAGAATCGTCCAGTGACCTGACTCAAAGCACTGTTGCAATCTTATGCAATGATTGTGGTGTAGGTTACTAGTTTTTGCTCATCAGCTCAATGCTTTTTGTTTTGGCTTAAGATTGTTAATGCTCTAGTATAATTCCTAAGTAGGATTCACATTGTTCAGTGAGCATAGTGGCAAGGAAACATTCAATATTCAACCTCCTGTCTGTTTCTTCTTTTGTCAACATGTTTTATTGTGGAGTTTGTTAACTTAGTAAAATGAGAACCGGAATTCGTATTCTGATTGTATATGACACAACTAACAGAGAATTGTCATGTGGTGACTCGTTGAGTGGTACTGATTGTAATATTTTGAACCGCCATTCTGATTAAAACAGGAACCTCTGAACCTTCGTAATTCTTGTAAGTTAATCTTCAACAGGATCTCTATTTGCACACAACTTGCCTAGCAACTTTGGCCAACATGGCTCCTCATGTGCATCGTTTGAGTGCATATGCATCACAGAGATTGGTTAGCCTCTTCTACATGCTCTCGCGCAAGTATGTCACTCTAATTCTTCTGCTTGTATTTTGTGAATTTTATCAATATTCCTCTTTTGTGATCCATCTGTTGCTGGTTTCGATTTGTACAGTATTAGATATGGTTATGGTTTACTTAGAAGGTGTCTCTTTTGTCGCACTTTAGGTACAATAAGCTTGCAGAGAGGATTGATGAGAAGAGAGGGAAGGGTGGTTTGGTTGAAGAGAACGACCTCACACTAGACATGGTAATCATCTATGTCTAATATGAAAACGGCCCCTTCTGCTTCCCTTATCTGTTTGTTTTCTTGATGGCTTAACTGTTCTTTTGTTGCAGTCAGCCGAACTGCACATATATGCTGACTTCCTGAGAATTGTGCTTGAAATCTTAAATGCTATTTTAACCTATGCTCTTCCTAGGAATCCTGAGGTACATTTTCATCTTGTTAACTCGATATGTTTCTCCCGAGGTCAAAAGATTGTTTATTGAAAACATCTGTGTTCATGTAATGTGGGCAGGTTGTATATGCCATCATGCACCGGCAAGAGGTTTTTCAGCCTTTCAAAAGTCATCCACGCTTCAATGAACTGATTGAAAATATATTTCTGGTATGTTCCATATCATGACTTTGCTCTCGCCCAGTGTCTGAATATTTTTATATAACGTCCGATAGCCAAGTTTCTATTTCAGCCCCATGTCAAGTCTGTGGGTGGCCAATTGAACAACCTTGTTTCTGTTTGAAATAGGATGTCAAACTGCAAGTTGTCAAAATCTGTTGATCAGTTGGATCTTTCCCACTGATAACAAGTGTTTTTTCTGGTAATGTTAGGTTCTGGATCATTTCAACAGCCGAATCGATGCTCAGAAAGAAGACGGTGAATGGTCGGTGGAGAAGGTTCTCCAACTCATAATCAGCATTTGTCGATCGTGGCGGGGTGAAGGAATGAAGGTAAAAAAATAAACAATAATCCTGTTCAGAATTATCTGCCTTGCCCTGCCACTTTGGATGAACTGGCTCTAGTCAGGAGTTTCCTCTGGTGTCACTAGCCTAACGGCGGCGTCTTCTAACAAATAAACCTATATTTTGCAGATGTTCACTCAATTGCATTTCTCATACGAGCAAGAGAGTCATCCAGAGGAATTCTTTGCACCATATATCTGGCGGCTTACCTTTTCACAATGGTACATTGCTTCCCATCTAGATCTCCCTTGCATTGTTGGACTGCTTTGTCTAGTTACCAAGCTTCAATTCGCTACGCGTGTTCTGATTACTGCTTTGGTTAATATGCAGTGGATACACCTTCGATCCCAGCGCGATAATTCTTTTCCCTCCTGATTTGCCTTTGGTAGTATGTATCTGAATCCTCCTTTTTTCTGTCCCTCGATCTTCATTCAGATGTACTTTGCAGAACCAGATAGGGGTGGCTAATCGTTTTCTGGTTTTCGGATGACCATAACCGATCTAGTTAAACAGCCCGCCCTTGAGATGTTTTTCGGTTTTACATCCAACGGTTTTGGTTAACCAATTGATTAACACTTAACAGCTCAGTTACGGTTCGAATTAGAGCCTCTCTTTTTTCGCTTGTAATGGCGAACAACTGACTCTTGGGCGGACCTTTGCAAATGCAGGAGGGCGAGGAGGGTGAACAGACCACCAGGCACGAGAATGGGGAGTTGAAACATCACGCTGTTCTGCTGGATGTCTGATGGTAATGCTGGTGCAGCACTAACTGCTGAAGGATCGAAACTCCTCCATCTTTCGTAATCGTCAAGTCACTCCTGTATGTAAATATTTTTATAAAATGAAATTAGAAATTTAAGTTTCCCCCCATCTTCTCATTCTTTTCCCACCTGTCAATATGCTTTGTATCCCTGTAGCAGTTTTGCCCCTATAGAAGAATGAGAGACAAAACTACTGTATTGGACACTAATAATTACAGTTTTTCTTATTAATTTGTGAAAATAAGAAGCTGCTGTTGTGTTCGATGTGTTGCTTATGGTAAGAGGGTTCCTGTCTCATACGTTGTAGAGCTACTTGTATAGTTATATTGTACATTCTGATGAACTTATGATTAGAGTGCTTACATTATTTGATTCAGTGAATTGTAAGATTGAATTCCCTTAAAAGGGTAATTGGGTGTGGAGGTTGTGCCTAAAAAGTTAGCTTGATAGAGGATTTTGCATTAAAACTGTGATTAATTGTGTTTCAATCATCTCACACGACTAAAAATTGTCTCACAGTTTAGGAGCCGATACAGATGGTCAGTATTGTCACACAATCCTTGATTGGAATGAGATCAATTGTTCTTAATGTTATGACCCATTGTTAATTATTTTAGTTATTATGAACCCTTCTTGTCTTAGATTGGGTAGGGAACACTGCTACGAACTTGTAGTCTAAGGGGGAAAAAGGTTAATGCAAAAGGCTGAAATAGTGAAATTTGAATCAAACAGTATTTTTAATTCGTATACTTACTAGTAGCATATAAACACAAACACATGCTTCAGCTGACCAACACACCTAGAAAAATTAGGCGATTTACACAAAGGGCGCACCCTTGACGTACTCGGTGAAGGCCAGGGCGACCAAACCCAGCATGGCAAATCTACCGTTCCACATCTCCGCATCGGAGGTCATCAGCCCTTTCGATTTCGACTCCACGGTGACGCCCTTGAACAGAGGGATCAACGACGCCAGAGTGAACAGCACGCTGGTGGCAACGAACCAGGTGGAGCCTCCCTCGGAGATCTGGGTGAACACACCTTGTCCCCTGGATAGCTCCACCGCCAAGGCGGCCACGAATCCCACCATCGCCAGCCTGCCGTTGATCCTCTCCGGCGCCGGCCCGCTGAACGCCAGCACGTCGCCGAACTTGGTGCTCGCCTTGGGCGCCTGCGGCTTGGGCGGAGTGGGAGTAGTAGGGATTTGAGATGTCGTTGGGGGTACAACAGTGGGTTCGCTGCTCTGTTCTGTTTTCTCATCCTGCAAAAAAATTTGTCGAAAAAATTAGCCCAGCTGTTCACGGAAACATTGAGAAGGGCAGCGCGATCGAGCAGGTATTATAAGCTGAGAACTTACCCCGGAGGCCATGCACCTGACGGCATTTCTGCTTAGACGCGGTACACTGGCGATACGAGGGAAGGAGTAGGAGGTGGTTCTGGTTCGGCTGGCCAGGGCTGGGCTGGCGAAAATTGTTTGCAAGGCTGCCGAGGTGAAGGCCATTTTATCGGGAGAGATGTGAAATTGGTTCTATACGAAACAAAAACAGAAGATAGGGAAACTCTCAAGCTTCAAGCTTGCAACTTTAGAAAAGAAAGATGGAGAGTAGAGTAAGTTGTTGCACTTCCGTTGAGTGAGCTGTGAGAAGTAGTGGGGCGGGTGAAAGCATATAAAGGGAAAGGGGAAAGGGGAAGTGAGGATATTTGAGGCTCCACGTCGAGTGAGTGGTATGTTTTCCGGGGGAAAAAAAGTGTGATTTGGGTCCAAGTGGGTTGGATTGTCGACATATGGTGAAAAAGGGGATGACGTGGTTAGTTTGGGCGCCGTCCATGGCTGCTCGGACCCCAGTGCCAAGTGGAGGAGGAGGAGGAAAACGAAGAACTTGAGGCCAGCATTGGTCCTCAAGATTTTCTTCTAGGCTAGAGGGTTTAGGGAGTTTTGCATATTCTTCCTTCCAGTTCCAGTACATTCTGGTTATCGGTCTTGAAACTAGGGATGACAAATTCTTACTATTAATCATATCAAAGTAAACACCTTGATCATGAGAAGTGAATGAGTGAAGTATATATTGGTTTGAGATTTGTTTAATACTTTTTGAAAAATCTTCTCCAAATCACTGGTATGGTTATCGAAATCGTGAGCATCAGCATGTAGGTTCCAAATCCAAATAATAGTATTAGGTCCTTTAGCTATTGTTCTTGAGAAATGACAAGGTCTGGCCCATTCCTCAAAACATAAATTAGGTATGAAGATAAATTTACTTGAAGTTATTTTATTTTAACTACACATACAAAAATTCGACCTATTTGTAAAATTAAAAAAGTTTAGATACCAAACAATAATTTTCATATAAGTATGGGTACAAATACAAATTCATAAATTAAAATTTCAACCCAAATAAATAATGTATGACTATAAGCTCATCAAAATCTACTTCCTCCAATAATATATAGTAGAATTTTGTCTACTTTTCTCTTTTTCGAATTTTTGGCAACGAGAGGGAAAATAGGAAGGACATTTTTGTATTTACAATTCATTATTTATTCTATATAAGAAAAGCCAATATAAGGATTTGAACTCCGGTCTCAGCAAACAAAGACAACAATCACAACCAATTACAGTAAACAAATTTGTTGTTTCTTTTTTAATCAAAACATATACGAAGTAAAATTTTGAAAATCGAAGGACTTTTTCATCATGATTAGCAAGTCCACTATGTCTACTGTATGTATTTTTATGGTGTTTGATACTGCAATTTTCATAGCAGAGTTTCATGTGGTTTTTTCAATTCTAAAATTACTGCTCCCTCCTTAATTTTCGCTAAAGGTGAATTGGTAATTGGCTAACATGTAAGAAACTAATTCTATTACTATGTGTTGTGTCTTTGCATTTTTTTCATTTATATTTAAATTTAGTACTTTTTTATCTTTGTTCTTATCTCTTTCTAACTTCCACAGAAATTCCCTCCATCGTGCAAATAGTTTGCGCCCCTTTCACTTTACAATACAAGGACGCATATGAAAATCAATCTTCCGGTATCTCTTGGCACTACGATTTTATTATTTGAGGATTTAAACTGGGCAAGTAGAAGATTTCAACTCCGATATCAATCCATGGCAAATAGAATGGAGTTGCAGAAGGAGGATTAGAAATTGAATTTATGGTTGAAACATACGCCTCTTGAGATTGAAGATAGAGTGGATAAAAATTTGATTGTATAACGAAGAGTGGTGGCTATTGGATCTTTAGGTTTATGATTTGGGTTAATACCTGATTTTGGCCTCAACTATGACCATATAATCAATTTTGGCCGGTGGTTTCAGAAATTAACATCCTGACCTCAACTATGTATTATCTAGACTCAATTGACTCGACAAATAGTTTGACCGTCAATTTGGATGGTCAACACGCCATGTCATTGTCTCATCATCATAAAAATTAATAAAAAAATTCAAATTCAAATTAATTTTCTAATTTTTATTATTTATTATCAAATTAAAAAGAATTATAAAAAACATAAAATAAATTTAGTTTTTTTAACTTTTGGGTAATTTGAAAATGATAAATTTTATAAATTAACCAAAAATTATCAAATTATTTATATTTTTAAAATTACCTAAAAATTTAAAAAAATCATTATATCATATTTTTATATTTATAAAATTTAATTTTATATTTATTTGTTAATTTATAAAATTTATCATTTTCAAATATCCCAAAAAATAAAATAAAAATTATTTATATTTTTTAAAATTTATTTTTGGTTAATTTGAAAATGATAAATAATAGAAATTAGGAAAATAATTTGAATTTGAATTTAAAATTTTTAATAATTTTTAGGCTGACGAGGCAATGACATGGCGTGTTGACTAACGGTCAACGACGTTGACCCTCCAAATTGACGGTTAAACCATGTGTCGGGTCAATTGAGTCTATATGCTGTATAGTTGAGGCTAGGATGTTAATTTCTGAAACCACGGGCCAAAGTTGATTATATGGTCATAGTTCGGGCCAAAATAAGGTATTAACCCTTATGATTTTTGCAGCTATCACAACCTATTTCTATCTTAAAACGAGGAATCATTTATTGGTTTACTGAAGTAGGTCGGTCGATTCTTTATTCAACCTACTGGAACTGATAAAGAAGGAGTGTCTAATTTTGTTCTTTATTACTTTGATTAGTCTATTAGTATATTGAATGTAACCCTAATCTTGGAGTTTGTTCTCAAGTTTTGATGGTCCCCTCTTAGTTGGGTTGTTAGTATATAGTTGACTTGAGTAAGCAACTCTCTATCTCTTTTTGATTAGTGACATATTGTTCCAAAAAGGAGAGCATTGAACATTTATGTAGGATTGCGAGGTTAAAGATTTAGTTTCAAACTATCTAATGTTCGTGTGAGAATTTCAGTGAGCTTTTATACTCTATCTTTCTTGACAATCAACTAACCGATAGCATTTTACTGGAAGCTTAATTATCATTATGAAAATGAGATCAATGATTTATATTCTTAAATGATGATATTTGTCCAAATGTAGGACCTATATATTCTTTCTTTATGTATCATCTCAATTGAAGGATTGTCAATAAAATTAAACGGGTTAATTGCATGGTTGGTCACTGAGATTATAAAAAACGTTCAAGTTTGGTCACTCGAAATATTTAAATCAATTTTCAAGTTTGGTCACTCGAAATATTTAAATCAATTGGTGGTACTTCAGTTTACTGAAACCGTTCACATTTTGTCACTCTCCGTCCAACTCCGTTAACTTTGGCTGATGTGGCAGTCAACTCTCAAACTTGACCGTTAAATGTATGACGTGGCCATTTAAATTCGATTCGGAATTCGGACAGAAATAATGGGTATTTCGGAACCCAGGGTTGTCATCACCGAACCCAAATTCCAAAATCCGAACCGAGCACTAAGCCCACACACTAACACCCCACCACTCTGCCCAACCCAATCTCTCACAACCCTAGCCCTAAGCCCACTCACCCACAACAAATATACAACCTCCACAGCAGCCATCCCTCATCGTCACCCACTCACCCTCCCGCCGACCAATCTCCCCTCTCTCAGTTCTCTTCTCCTCAACTAGTGTTTGCCACTTAAACCAAGAAAATCAAACATAAAAACCCACATGCATCAAAATCGGAAAAGAATAGGTCGAGTTGAAGAGAAGGTTGATTGGGGAGGTGCAAGGATCTTCGTCATCGTCGCCGCCGCGTTGTTCACTGCGTCAATCGCCATCGTCGTTGGCGCTGCCGCCGTCTTGTTCTCTTGGTCAATAGACGTTGCCGCCGAGTTCGGGTCTCGGGGTTGGAGGGGAGACAAGAGAGAGAGAGATTGAGTGAAGGATAGATCTGGGCAGATAGAGGAGAGACGAGAGAGAGATTGATTGAGGAGCAGATTCTTAGTGGGGAGATAGATGAGAGATGAGGGAGAGGGGAAGGATTAATTTGGGGCCGATTTTTAGTGGGGAATGGAAATAAAGTGTGTTGGTTTTATATTTTTGGGTTTGGGCCTTGAAACCGGACCAAGATATAATTCTGTTCGGACGAACCGAACTGAATTATATTTCGGTTCGAAATCGGTTTGTTGCATGGACTAATTTGGGGAGCCGGTATGCTTAATTTTGGTTCGATTTAGACCGAACCGACCGAATGCCCACCCCTAGCAGGTACGCCGAGGATTCTCGGAATCGGAAAAAGATGAGGGCGGCAAGGGAGACAACCGACACCACACACGGGATCCCGATCATCACTCGCCATCCTCGGTTGTGAAGGGGGTGCTCGCGGAACGCGAACTGCGTCACGTAACCAGAGAGCCTCCAAAGCAGAAGAGAAGCTGCATGGACAAAAAATGAGGAACAGAGAGACGGAAACAGAGGAGAACCCTAGTCGGAGAAAACGCGAGGCCATGGGCTGATCTTTGCCCGGGTCTATTGAACCTGATCAACGACAAGCTGCCTCCCAACTCCGTCGTTCGTCACGCCGCGTTGGGATCAATATGCAAGCTGTGGCGCCAAATTGTACGGCCAAATCATTGCTTACGCCTGGCCAAGCAAGTGGTGGCTTCTGAATAATGAAGATTCCCCCGGCGGCGAAATTACTACCTGCTTCAATCCCTTTCTTCTCCAAAGCATAAGAGAAGCTTCAATAGAAGCGGCAGCGAGGGCAGGGTATGCTGCCAACGGGGTATTTGTTTTGGGGATTAGAAGAAATTATGATTTTTTATTTATTTTAAATAAAAGTGATAATAAAGTGGAAATGAGATGGCAATTTTAAAAAATTTAATTTTATTATTTTTAAAATGTCACGTCACACATTTAACGGTCAACTTTTAGAGTTGACCGTCACGTAAGCAAAAGTTAACGGAATTGGACGGAGAGTGACCAAAAGTGAACGGTTTCTGTAAACTAAAGTACCACCAATGGATTTAAATATATCGAGTGACCAAACTTGAAAGTTTTTTGTAATCTCAATGACCAACCATGCAATTAACCCCAAATTAAACATTAATAGAAGTAAACATAACATGACAATATAAATATTCCGGCCAACGGGCCGGGTTATAAGCTAGTATCAAATATTTAGATTTCTTACCCGACCCAATTGAATTGGATAAATTGTTATCCTGACATGAAATTTGCCACGTAAACCACATGAACTTGACACATCTCTTTTTGTACTTTTTTTATACATTGAATTGATAGAGATGAAATATCTCCACCACTTCAGGAACATACCAACAACTCTATCTCTCCACTCTCCTACTCTGTTTCATTCTGTTCCTTAGTTTTAGCAATCCTCTGCATAGGATTTGTCCTTCTGTTACATCTACTGTTGTATACAAACATATATTCAATAAAGAGCAACTCAGGTTTTCTGAGACCATTTCATGGTATCAGAGCCTCAAATCCTCTAACGAGGTACTCTGTTTTCTTTTATTTCTCAAATCCTTTGCCATCACCTTCATCCCCCACAGATTCTCAGCTTTGTATCACCTTTCTCTCCTTCTCAGTGTCTCTGCCTTCTTACCTTCACCTCTGTTCTTTTTTTAGCTTTTCCTCCTCTGCTTTTATTATGCAAAATGATGACTTCCTCCATTACACCATCCTTTGCTGCTCTGTTTACTGCTGACAAAGCTGGTGGCTTCCACGAAACTCAAGCTAAGGTTCTTGACATGGTATCAGAGCCTTCTGTGACCGAGAGGTCTTATGTTCGATTCCCGGTAACCCCCATTTGTTAAGCACATGGTATTCTTGTCTTCAGACCTGTGCAAACTTCAAGCCCTTGTGAGTGGCTTTCGTTTGAGGGGGCGTGTTAGTGTTGTGGTATATGATCCACAATTGAACCTCTCCCAACAGCTCGAGTTATTGGGATCAACTGGTTCTTGACATGAAGTTGTTGGCACTTCATTAATGAACAAAATTTAGGGTACACCTTTTACAAAATACCAAGGGAAGAGGAAGATGGAATAAAGGAAATGTAAAGGCCCCAAGTAGGGCATAGCCAGGATTTTGTTTAATGTGAGTCTATTTAAAAGAAAAAAATATAAATGATCAAATATTTTTTAACCTTTTTAATGATTCATTATATAATTTTATATTTGAAAAATGGGCAAATTATACATCAGTAATTGGACCTATCAAGAATATTTCTCTCTGTGTACTAAATAATTATTTATGAATTAGTCGGGAACAATAACTCAAGTTGTTGGAAGATGTTCAATAATGAATCTTATACCAAACAATTATTCATGATTTAGTTAGTCGTTTGTGTTCCAAATTGTGTTATTTGTCAAGATCGTTTAGTATCAATAACTCGAGTTGTTGGAGATATTCAATAATAATTTTATACCATTTACTAACACACACCTTTCAAGAAAGTAAACTTATTTATATTTGAATTGTGCACGAATATAAATATTATGTGTATAACAAATGAGATCACCAAAATTCGAGTTATTGATACTAAACGATCTTGACAAAGCTCACTTGCGGTTCCACCATGGGCCAACCGCAGCTCACTTGCGGTTGCACCATGGACCAACCGTAACTTACCTTAGGTTGAGCGTTTTTTTGGAAATTTCGTTAGAGAACGGGCGATGCCGACGACGGGAGAGACGCCGACGAACTGGTGCGTCGAGAGGGATTCGCGAAGAAGGCAGATGAGGGGTTCAGTTTGAGGGGTTAGGGATTGTTTGGTTTGTTTAAATTTTGAAAATTTATTGGGGGTATATAAGTCCATTATCATTATAGTTAGGACGACCGTTAGCAATTTTAAGGGCGACATTTAGCGATTCAGTATAATAATTAAGAACTGTCACAAGAAGAAGAAAAAAGGCGTTGAAAGTAAGGAACTTCTTACATAAGGTTGGTGGTAAACAAAAGTTAATTTACTAATTTCTATTTCTTATCCAAACTTTTTTTAGATTCTTTTATATTATATAAACCTATTAAAATGCTATTAATTAGCCAAAATTTTCGTAATGCATCAAAATATTAGTCAGTTTTAAGTTATTGTTAATAATTTTGTAACTTTTTTCTTAGTTAAAATACTAAAATTATGAAAAATTAATCTTCATGTTTCTCTTCCAAGTCAGTATTATGTTGCCAAGTCAATATTACTAACAAATTCTCTAACGGAAAGTTAACATTTAGCTAATTCTTAGCATTTCGATAGATTTTGCTAGTAAAAATAAAACCGAAAAAAATTGGCTAATAAATAACAACCGCCCTTAAACAAATATTAACCATGAACTTCCCATTTTCACTAACAGAGCTCGCTTTTGAGTTTTGAGGGCTTCCATCAAATGGAATATACGGTTTTAGTGGGCTTACCAAATCAATAGGCTTTCTTTATTAATTCCCAGCGCGCTTGGCCTGGCTCGGTCCGATTGGCGTTCTATTTTGGTGATGGGGTATTTGCAAGATTGAATTCCAAGGGTAATTGGGAAATGGGAATTCAATTGTTTATTGATGTTTTGAACATGTCCAAGTTTGGGTGGTGAAATGTAGGGTAAATACAATATAATCGCCACATATTTTTTCGTTTTAAACAAAATAATAGTCTTTTTTTTCAAAAACTATTCAATACCCAAATTATTAACTTTCCGTCCGGTTGATTGTTAGTTGACTTTGAAAGAAAGTTGAACCTATCAAGAATATTGCTCTCTGTGTATCAAATAATTATTCATGAATTAATTAGGAACAATATCTCAACTGGTTGGAAGATGTTCAATAGTGAATCTTATACCAAACAATTATTTATGATTTAGTTAGTCGTTTGTGTTCTTTGTCATGATCGTTTAGTACCAATAACTCGAGTTGTTGGTAGATGTTCAATAATAATCCTATACCATCTACTAACACACACCCTAAAATAAAGTAAACTTATTCATATTTAAAGTTTACACAAATATAAAAAAACAAAACTATTAACAATAAATCGGCTTCCACACTAAAAATTACATTAGGCCATTAACAATATAAGATAAATTGTTAACCATAAACATTTTCATGATTAACACTTAAGAATGAATTATTAACATTTTGTCACATCATTATTAACGGTTCTATTAATGCTTTACAATATATTTATTAATGATTCATGCTTTTACATCATATCCATAACTATATAGTGACCGAGGTCGGAGAGGCAAGAACCAGCACCGGCGATATAAGCTTGTCGTGCGCATTTAGCATCTTTTGCGCCATTTGCATAGGAATTGTGAAGGTGATTTATGAGTGCGGCTGATTTTTTATTTTTTTAATAATTAATTAATACATTAATTATCCCTAACTATTATATGAGTGCGGCTGATTTTTTATTTTTTTTAATAATTAATTAATACATTAATTATCCCTAACTACCAGTCAATTATTAGCAACCTATTAACTACCAGATTCTCTCAGCCAATAGCAATCACTGAAGATAATTCTTTGTGAGGCTTAAGGACCTGAACCTAGAGAATGAATCAGGTGAGTAACCTTATGGTGAGTAAGCATGAGTAACCCATCCACATCAGCATGACATCAGCATCCTCTCTCTCCTGGAAAGCCTTTAATTTTACCCTCTTTAATCTTTGACGGACGATTTCTCACTCATTTTAAGTCGAAATTTAATTTTTTTTGCACAGTTAGATCAGATTAATTGTGCTCTTCAAAATGATATCCACTTTAATATATTTTTCGAACAAAAAAAATTGAGCCATTTTTTACTAGTCTATACCATATTTATTGACTGGTATTGAAATAAAAGCATACCTATGGTTTGAAAAACGTACCATGGTGGTATGAACAAACCAAGATTGTAGGATGGTTGAATACATGATAGTAGAAGTATATTAATTGTCATTTACGACTTTTAACATTGTATACCACACAATACCACCCCGTATCAGGGTGGTATTGTATGGTATTGTGTGGTATTTTTTGGTCCTGTAAAATGTTCACCCAGAATTTTGTAGATCCAATAGATCATGATGAACTCGTCCCTTTTGTGCAAACGTTTTCAAAAACGAATTAAAAATGAAGAAGATACCATACAATACCACCCCGTACCAAGGTGGTATTGTATGGTATTGTGTGGTATTTTTTGGTCCTGTAATTTGTTCACCCAGAAATTTGCAGATTCAATAGATCATGATGAACTCAGTCCATCTGTGCAAAAAAAATTAAAATCCGAGTTAAAACGAAAAAGATATGAGTCAATTAAGAAAGCTAGAAAAAATAAAAATGATCTTTAATTCTCATTCTTTAAGTCTGAATTTTCTAAATAAAGGGTCCAGATTTGGTTATTGATGGATGCATAACCCATAGTTATGCACCCTATCGTGAGGCCTGAACCTAGCCCGACTCATTGTTGTCCTGGATTGGGTAGGGAAGAAAACTGCTATGCAATCAGAATTCCTAGGGCTATGGTAAAAGGCTAAAATTCCTCATCAAAGTTTGTTTCATTCGTATTATATTTACTAATTACTAGAAGCATATAAATACACAAACATTACACAGGCTTCAGCCGACCATCACGCCTACAAAATAACGCACGATTTACACAAAGGGACCTCCCTTGACGTACTCTGTGAAGGCCAGAGCAACAAGCCCCAACATGGCAAATCTACCATTCCACATCTCCGCATCAGAGGTCATCAGCCCTTTCGATTTCGACTCCGCGGTGATCCCCTTGGACAGAGGAATCAAGGACGCGAGAGTGAACAGCACGCTGGTCGCAACGAACCAGGTGGCGCCACCCTCGGAGATCTGGGTGAACACGTCCTGACCCCTGGACAGCTCCACCGCCAAGGCGGCCACGAATCCCACCATCGCCAGCCTGCCGTTGATCCTCTCGGGCGCCGGCCCGCTGAACGCCAACACGTCGCCGAATTTGGTGCTCACCTTGGGCGCCTGCGGCTTGGGAGGAGTGGGATTAGTAGGGATTTGAGATGTCGTTGGGGGAGCGCTTGCAGGTTCGCTGCTCTGTTCTGCGGCCTTCTCATCATCCTGCAAAAAAATTGTTACAAAAATTAGCCCCATTGATTGGGAAAACATTGAGAAGAACGCGATTAGGATTTAGGGTTTTAACACTTACCGCAGTGGCCATGCATCTGAAGGCATTTCTGCTCAGGCGTGGAACAGTAGCAATTCGAGGGAAGGAGTAGCAGGTAGTTCTGGCCCGGCTTGCCAGAGCTGGGTTGGCGAAAATTGTTTGCAAGGTCGACGAGGTCAAGGCCATTTTATCGGGGAGGTGTGAAATTGCTTCAATCTAAACACGAAAAGAAGATAGGCAAATTCAAGCTTGCAGCTTTAGAGAGGAGGAAGGAGGTAACTGTTTGCACTTCGGTTGAGTGAGTTATGAGGGTTGGTGGTGGGGTGGTTGCAGGATTATAAAGGGAAAGGGGAAAGGAGAAGTGAGGATATTTGAAGCTCCACGTCGACATATGGTGAAAAGGGAGTGACGTGGTTAATTTGGGAGCCGTCCATGGCTGCTCGGCCTCCACTGCCAAGTGGAGGAAGAGGAAGAAGACAGAAGAACTTGAGGCCAGCAATTGGTCCTCAGGAATTTTCTTCTGGTGCTAGAGGGTTTAGGGAGTTTTCAGTTTTGCATCTTCTTCCTTTCCAGTACATTCTGGTTACCGGTCCTGAATTTTGCCACGGTTTTACCACATGAATTCGACACGTCTCTTAGTGTAGTTAGAGATGCCAATTTCTCTCTTTCTAATTTGGCCTCTTCAATTATTGAGATCATATTGTTTGCATTGGTTAGTTGGATCGTTAATTTTCGTCCTAGAATCAGCTAATTAGGGCATAAAGAAGTACCAGGGGCAGGGGCGGAATATAGTGCACTCGCCATTGTCCAAACAGAAGTTTTATGGCTTCAACAGTTGTTAAGTGACCCTATGTTTATTTGAAGTCGCCAACCACGGCTCACTGTGACAACATTGGGGCATTGTACTTAGCTCACAACCCTCTTATGCACTCCTATCTATTGATAGGAAGATCTTCGTCAAATACCCGATTTTGCCTTTTTTTTAGGAATTCCTCATATCCAAGGCAGAGGCAGCTTACCATAGTCCACAAGGTAGGAGTTATGCTGACAGTGTCAAGGTTGAAAGACCGTTTACTTTTGAGATGAGAACCATATTTATGAGGATAGAGAATAATTCACTTATCTTCTTATGAAAAGTAATTCAAGATTTCAAGTTATCGGTACATGGTGAGCAAGATTATAGTACAATTTATTAGTACTAAGAAGGAACTGGATTCACGAATTTATCAACAAAATAACAGTCTAAGTGATTAAGCCGTTTTAGTAAATTAATATGATTTTTTACATTCAAGCCCAGCCTTGTAGAAGCTTTTCACCCTTATAAGGAAAGCGACAGACATATAAGAACTGTCGAAAGAAGAAAAATAAACTGAAAGTAATGTATTTGTAGCAAATAAAGTTGGTGGTAAACTAGTTTTAAGTTTTAACCATGAACATCAAGAAACATCCCATTTTCACAAACAGAGCTCCATTTTGAGGGCTTCCATCAAATGGAAGATACGATTTGAGTGGGCTTAGGAGCCAGCCTTCTTTATTAATGCCCAACGCGATTGGGCTTGTTCGGCCCTATTGGTGCTCTATTTTATATTGGTCCTCCCCCCTCACTGTAGCTTCTGTGGTTTGGGTCCAGTTATTAAGTTTCAGGCCCGAGCCCAATAGTGACTCCTGAGATATATCTGTCGGCTGACGATATTAATTAGCAAAGCGATTCAAAGAACTCCAACGGCGATGATAATGGGGCTGAAGCTGGTGGAAGTTGCCGTGACCACCACCGTCAATCTCCACGCAATACAACCGTTTCCCTCAGTTTCCGTCCAATCCGCCCATCTTCACTGTATCAAATTCCCATTGAAGAGAACAAGCGAGGTTCGAGCTCTTCTTATTTCGGAGTCTCCTCCCCCTCGTTCCTCTCCCTCTGGGACATTTCGTCGAACGGTTGGAAGGCAGTCGTTAGTGAAAGGCGAAATCGGTAACAATTCCGGAGATAAGGGCACAAACAGGAAAAGAGTATTCTTCTTGGACGTGAACCCACTTTGTTACGACGGAAGCACGCCCAGCCTGGACGCTTTCGGGCACTGGATTTCCCTTTTCTTCTCTCAGGTCAGCCTTACTGATCCTGTTATCGCCGTATTTGACGGGGAAGGGGGCGGTGAGCATCGGAGGCGATTGCTGCCTTCCTATAAAGAACACCGCCGGAGATTTTTGGCCGATCGATTATCAGTGACGTCCCAGAAGCACGCAAAGGATCGCGCCGAAAGGGCTCAGGTAGTGATTCATGTATTGTCCAAATGCAACGTCCCTATTGTGAAAGTTGAGGGTCAGGAAGCAGACGATGTCGTAGCGACGCTGGCTGAGCAAGTTCGTCCGAGAGGCTACAGAGTGGTTATTGCCTCCCCTGACAAGGATTTCAAGCAGTTGATTTCTGAAGATGTTCAAATTGTTTGCCCCATTACCGAGCTGAAAAGATGGTCTTTTTATACCCTGAAGCACTATTTAGCTCAGTATAATTGTGACCCGTGCTCTGATCTCAGCTACCGTAGCATTGTGGGTGATGAAGTTGATGGGGTTCCTGGGATACAGAGTGTGGCACCTGGATTTGGTCGAAAAACTGCTCTGAAGCTTCTGAAAAGACATGGGTCGTTGGAGAATTTACTGAATGCCGCAGCAGTAAGAACTGTGGGGAAACAGTATGTACAAGATGCCCTGGTAGAGCATTCTGATTACCTGCGACGGAATTATCAGGTTCTTGCCCTGAGGAGAGATGTTAAAGTTCATCTTCAGGATGAGTGGCTGGTTCAGAGAGACCGATGTCATGATTCCGCTGCTTTGGCTGATCTTTTCAATTTGTTGGGGCAAAGGAAGAGACTGTTAACAAGGAAATGATTTGCGCTCTTCAAATTAATATAGCCCACATCAACTGAGGTACGTTATACCAAGGGCGTTTATTCGATAGTCTTAAGTTTACAAGAAAGATATCCAAATTGCTCTTTCAGGAAGAGTCTGAATTAGGAATGTGATTGGTTTAAATGCGCATGCTAAAAGATCAATGCTTAGGTGGGGTATCTGCGAGCTTCCATGAGTAGTTAGCTACAGCAGGATAGATCTCCGAGCCACAAACTTCATGAGCGGGAACAGCATCAGATATCTCTTTTACATCTTCTTCTGTAAGCTTAACAGCCAATGATCGAAGATTGTTCTCGAGGTTCTTCTTTTTACTTGTCCCTGAAAATACCAATGATGAGTATCAGTAGTCAGCTCTTGGTAACCCTGTGTGGGTGAATGTCGTGAAACAGTAGCAATGCGGTAAAAGCTGTAAAGACGTCTTGCATGATAATGCTAGTAATTAGCGAGTTGAATTTACTCGGATAATTGAATCTAGTGAAAGAGGAATTCTTGTTCCGGAAACTCTTGTACCAGGGAGTGGGACTATGTCAGTTCCTTGATGTAGAAGCCATGCAAGTGCTAGTTCAGGAGGGGTGCACCCATGCTTTGTAGCCAAATTGGCAACTCGTGAATACAAGACCTTATTCTTCTCTATGCTATCAGTTGAAAACCTTGGATGATGCTCAGGCTGTCCCGCGAACATGGACATGGAGTCAGTAAGTTAGTTAGTTAGTTAGAAACTGATTGATCATGTAGACATTGCAGTTAAGGAACTAGTTCTAGTTGCATCGCGTACCAGCACACTGTTTGCAGGCAAGCTTTCCACTATTGCTTTTCCAGCAAAGAATCCAACGCCAAGCGGACTATATGCTACTAATCCAATCCCAAGTTCTCTGTTGATAAAGAATAGAAAAAATGCTCTCTCTGTGATTATATGTCACCAATCAACTATGCAAGGTGTGTGATGTTTTCTTTCATATCTATAAGCCTGAGCAGAACAGTTATTGATTTCATCATGAAGACTCAGGTTTTCTTTTTGAGAATTTATGAGTTTGAGCTTGAAAGATACCGGCAAAGTGGGATGATCTCTGCTTCAATGTCACGGGACCAAAGGGAATACTCCATTTGCAAGGCAGTGATGGGATGAACAGCATGGGCTCTCCTGACTGTGTCTGGACTGGGATCGGATAGCCCTATGTATTTGATCTTCCCTTCATCCACCAGCTTCTTCAGCTCCTCCATCTACCTCGCAGTGTGAATCCCAGGAAGCAAACTTTCAATTTGAGCCAATATACGAAGTTCAGTCAACAGAAGATGTCTTGAGGAGAGTCTTACGGTGTCTTCAATTGGGACTGATTGATCCACACGGTGCTGATAATACAGATCGATGTAGTCTACTCCAAGTCGCTCCAGGCTAGCTTCACAGCACCTGCGCACATATTCAGGCCTACCGTCGACTCTATACTCACCAGCCTCGGTTATGTAAAGTCCGAATTTGGTTGCCAGTTGAATCTCTTCTCGAGGAAGCTGCTTCAGAGCCTGAATTCACCCAGAATTGCATAAATGCTCTTACTTCCTCTCACTGAAACTAAAAAAGAAAACTTGGCAAACATGGAAGGGTGTCTATTTACCTCGCCAACCATGATTTCCCCTTCGTGATTGTAGCCGTAGAGATCAGATGTGTCGATGAAGGTGACACCCTTGTTGAAAGCACAGGCAATCAGGGAGCAGGCTTCTTCGTGAGATAGAGGAGCATTCATCGTTCCATCAAGGGATGCACATCCGAATCCCAGTCTCGACACCTGCACCATCCAAATCCCAGAACTCTTCAATCAAAACAATTGCAATATGAAGCTACAATGTGCTAAGTGTTCTGTTAGCTCTGCACGTTCTATACAAGCTACAATATGCCAACTGGTGTTACCTCAAATCCTTGATTCCCAAGTTGGACTCTTGGAATTCGAGTGTGCTGTTGGTTCTCCATTTTTCTCAGGAAGACAATGCTATGCTAGCTTTGGAGTCTTAGTTTTTGGGTTAGTTACGTTCTGTTGTTCAGTGATGGGCACTACTTATTAGTATTTTTCCCTCCCCTTGAGCATTTGTATAATGGCCTAGTGTCCCTTTTATCCTTTTCAAACCGGTAGCGTGTTCCTGTCATGCCGACTTAACAGCCAGTTTTCTTTGGGCCAACTTGTACGGGTCACGTTCATTTCCGAATAAAGCAGTTAGACGACTTATTATTATGGGTTATATTACATAAATTTGGACGGTAAAAAAAGCATCCGAAAACTGTTCAAAGTAGGAAGGTCAACCTGCGGTATGTCAATGGATGGTAGGTCAAGTTGTAGATGTATATTATTCTATTTTCTTTGATTTCTATTATTCTTTTAAAGGCCCTCGTTTTATTTCACATATTTATCTTTTTTGCTTTTGCTATTCTAAATTTGATGTCTTTGTTTGTATTTGATAAATATTTCGTTTGATGTGTTTCCATTTTAAAATTCCTATTTGCCGACATTTTTTAGAGTTTTCCGATTATTCAACTATAAGATGAACGTGATTACTTGTATTCGGATCTCGCGTATATTTGCGACATATTTTCTATTTTCGAATTATTATAGATTGATAATCTTCATGAGTGCTCCGACTATTCAATTATAGACCCAGTTGATCACGCATATATTAATCATGCGTCTTTCCACAATGCATTTTTCATTTTTGAATCTGTATTGATTGACAATCTTTATAAGTTATTTTCAACTATTCAAATGTTTTTTTGGTGCATTAATCTATATTTTCGAATATGGGGCTTAATTGGCTATCAATGTATTCTCATAGGCTAATAGATTAGGAGTATACCATTTTAAAGAGTTTGATTCAAATCTTCAACCTAATTTATATTGTTTCATTAATTAACTTACGCAATTGAAAATTTTAGGGTGTCCCTACAGTGACATGCATGTCACGGTGACTTGCACTTTCCGGTCGACCTTAGTTAGGATTAGGTCGACCTCATTTAGAATTCGGTCGACCTCATATAGGATCTGGTCGACCTCATTTAGGATTTGGTCGACCTCATATAGGATCAGGTCGACCTAATCTGTTGTTTCAGTGTAAAAACAGTTCATGGTGCCTACTTTGGATATTCATATCATACAATTGGCTAGATGGAAATTGAAGACTAATGACTTGTTTTGAAGCTGGAGTGTCCCTCTACATATTGAAGTGATTGAGAGCTCGATAGGAAGTCCAGAAGACCATTTTTGAACCTCATCAAAAGGCTATGCCAAAATTGGGAAACTGCCTGGAAATGACTAAGTCTGGAAACGTGTTTATGAAGCCTATTTTGGAGCTCAATTCGAGAAGCATGAATGCGAGTCGAAGTTGCTACGAAGGCTGTTTTTCAGGCAGACTTCGAGCACAAGCAAGCTGCCAGAAAAACAACCTTCGTAGCAACTTCGAGGCTTTTGTTTGAAGCGTTAAATATATTCAATCTTTCATCCGATGCCTTGCCTTTGTATAAAAAAGTACGTAATTTAACGTGGTAGAGGCCCCTGGGCTTGACTCGCATCTATACTTCTCAAATTGAGCTACAAAGTAGACTTGACAAACATGTTGCCAGACTTAGCCATTTTCAGGTAGTTTCCCAGTTTTGGCATAGCCTTTTGGTCAGGTTCAAAAATGGTCTTCTAGACTTTCTATTGAGCTCCCAAGTACTTTAATGTGTAGAGGGACACTTCAGCTTCAAAACAAGCCTTTAATCTCCAATTTCCATATAGCCAATTGTAAGATATGAATCTCCAAAGTAGACACCATGAAACTGTTTTTACACTGAAACAACACATTAGGTCGACCTAATCCTATATGAGGTCGACCGAAAAGTGCATGTCACCGTGACATGCATGTCAAGGTAGCAAAGTCCAAAATTTTATTATGTGAGCTTCTATTTTTTTCGTTTAATATATTACTTTGTATTTACAGGAATACAAATCTTAATGAAATAAGATTGAATAGCCTTTGTGGATCACAAACTAGAACTATTTAGTTAAACAAGAAAGAATCATTTTATTTTTTGCTTAGAATAAAATATATATAGAAATCAAGTTTGTTTTTCAAGAATAGTTGGTAGTAATATTTCATAAAAACAAAGTTACTTGTGGCAACATGCCTTGCCACTAAACTATGAGTCATGAGTCCTCTTCGATTACCCGAACATTTGCACTTCTTCACAACTGCACAGGGTTGCCAAGTCATTCTTGATCTATTTCAAAACTTCCGAAAGGCTAAAGATTTGTCGATTGTACCTTGTTAAAACGGGAGGCGAATGCACTTGGAACCCTGGGAACCGAAGAGAGAGAGAAAGAGAGAGTTGTTTCTTTCCTCCATTCACAAACCAACTCGGGAACTGCTCAAAGGTCTTATTCCTATGACAAAAGGAGCAGCTTGGCGATATAAGGGCTAAACAAAGGGTCACTTAACACATAGGGTAATTGATCTTTTGCTATTAGTAGTGTTTGGGAGTATTTGGCGAAAAAACACTCAATTATGTTCACAATCAGAAGGTGCACAATCATTTGGCTAAGAATTCAAATTCCGACTTTGAACATTTGGAGTATCAATTCCAAACCAGTTCCCAACACTTAGGTACTGTTAGAAACCTAATTTTAGGGTTCTAACGGTCGGATTGATGAGATTGGAAATTGATAGATATTTAGGAATTGAGATAGAATTGGGGAAGAACAGAATTGGGGATTAGGGATTTAGAAGAGGAAATTGGGGATCGAGGAGAAGAATGGCCGACGGCCTAGGGATAGGTGACGAAGTTGAGAGAGATTAGGGAGATTAGGGTTTGAGATACTTTTCTGAATAATTGTTCATGCTTGATTATGAATAAAACGCAAAGTACATATTTATAACGAAAGATAGGAAAACCTAATACTAAACCTAATTCTACTGGAAGACTACTAACCATATTTAATAAAACCTAATAATAACAATAATGATAATTATGGTAGAAAACCCATTTTCTTAAGGAAAACGTGTTTCTAACATCCCCTCCCCCTTGAGACCAACCTTGCACTCAAGGTTGATCAATTCGACCCACTTCTTCCCGTCTACTGTGCAATCCACGTCGTGGCTCCTCCATTTATTGCGTTTTCTTTTCTTCCAATCGTGCTCCACTACTCGGACGAAGCCCACTCCAGTGACCCCGACTCTCCTCCACTTTTCTCGAACCACGTGACACGGGTCACGGTCTCCATAGCCAAACAACTCTTCCCCTTCGTTCGCAAAATCCACGAAATAAGAATTGGAGAGATGTTCTTCTTCATGCTCCATAAACTCCTCCATTGACTTGGATGTGAAAATAATCCAATCTCCTCCTCCTTTATCTTGGACTTGACCCACAATTGATTGGAAGGAAGAGCTAGAGCCCAAACCCATGTTAGGCCTCATGGTGCTCCTCATCTTCTTCTCAACCTCGTGTGGGCTTGGCTCCCTTATAAGCCCACCTGCAAATTCCAAAGAAGAGCCCTTGAAAATCATAGAGCCCATTGTCTTCAAAGCATAGCCCACGTTGGGCTCAATTTTCCGTAGACAGCTCAGATATGGCCTAACTAGCTAGTCGGTATGCGGCCCATACTCAGGCTTTTGCTGGGCCCAAACCACTTCTACTTCTGGCCCGCTTTGCTGCTCTACTCTCAGCCCACTAACCTGGTCCAGCCAAACCCAGTTGAGCCTTGCTAGAGCAGGCCCATGCCTTGGCACAGTAGGGCAGGCAACAGCCTCCCTTTGGCCCACTCCCCTTCGCTGCTGCTGTAGTTCGTGGAATGGGAAGAGCTTGCGTGCGGAATGGTTGTCGCCGCTCTCCTTCTTCGTTCTTCCACCCGACGTCGCCAGAGCAACCTCCGTCGAGCTCTCGCCCGGATCCGCAAAGGAAGACGGCAGGCTTCGCTGAGCCACCCGCGCTGCTCGTGTCTCTGGCAACCTGAACCGACCGCCCATCGCCATATCTTCCTTCTTCCTCTCTGTTGGCGATACATCGCCCCAGCAACTCGACTCTACCTCTTCCTTCTTATGTTCGTCGTGCTCTTGCTCGTCGTCCGCCGTCACAGGTCGGACCGGTAGCTGCTGCTCCTTTGTCATGTCTCCGTCCGTATCCTCCTCCTCCATCACTGGTTCCGTGTCGCTCCCTCCGACGATGACTTCCACCGCTTCGTCGGTCTCGGAGGACATTGGTGGTCGCTCGCCGTCGACGATTCGGGTCACCGTCTCTGCTTGCACGGTCGGCGACTCTTCGGAGCTCCAACGGCGTCCAATGCGGCGAGCCCGGTCACGCAGCTCTGCCCACGACAGGTTCGAGAGCTTTGAAGAGCTCATCGTCGAACCAGTTGTAGAACTCGTCCCCAGTTGAGAGTTGTGGCGAACTCAATTCTCGAACCGGGCTCTGATACCAAATGTTAGAAACCTAATTCTAGGGTTCTAACGGTCGGATTGATGAGATTGGAAATTGATAGATATTTAGGAATTGAGATAGAATTGGTGAAGAACAGAATTGAGGATTAGGGATTTAGAAGAGGAAATTGGGGATCGAGGAGAAGAATGGCCAACGGCCTAGGGGATAGGTGACGAAGTTGAGAGAGATTAGGGGGATTAGGGTTTGAGTATCTTTTCTGAATAATTGTTCATGCTTGATTATGAATAAAACGCAAAGTACATATTTATAACGAAAGATAGGAAAATCTAATACTAAACCTAATTCTACTGGAAGACTACTAACCATATTTAATAAAACCTAATAATAACAATAATGATAATTATGGTAGAAAACCCATTTTCTTAAGGAAAACCTGTTTCTAACAGGTACATAACAAACATGCATGTTAATATGTACTTGTGTGTAATGGATCAAACAATTTCAATGTAAGCATGTTAGTATATACTAGTTTGTAATGGACCCCATTGTCGACTCACTATCCCGATCTATAATATCAAGTAATTTGCCATTAGAACAACCTAAAACTTTACTACGAAATCACAATCAATTTAAAACTATTGATCTAGCACAATTGACTTCACATCCCTTCCAGTTGGCATATCCACTATCTCGGAAACAACTCACCGATCACTAGAGCCTCTATATCGAATTTATGCTCAAACCGGATTTGAAAATGTTTGATCAAGACTAAAAAACACATGTTCAAGTTGTTTTGCGGGGATTATTGATTATGCTGGATCGGAGAATGTTGTGCATTAGTGCATCAAATTGTAGATATGCAGGGTTGATGGTAGTACTATGGTAGTATATATTGAATTCCTCACTCTTACTCTTGATTTGATGTCAAAAGACACTGGAGAATGTCTCATGTTAGGAGTATAGCACATCGAGTTACAAAGATCTGTCTTTGTTTACCATCATGATACACCTTCAAAGTAAATAGTGAGACCTGATGCTTTCCAACTAAAAAAAACAACCTTCAATTTAGTTCCATTGTCTTCGTATGCAAGAAAAGATAACCAAATTGCTCTTTCATGAACAGTCAGGAATAGAAAATACAAGTGCGGAAAGGCATTTCCTGAAAGATTATTGCTTAGATGGGGTATCCGCAAGCTTCCATGCGTATTCAGCTACCACAGCATAGGTCGCCGCTCCACTGACTTCATCAATGGGAACAGCATCAGAAATTTCTTCTACATCTTCTTCAGTAAGCGTCAAGGCCAACGATCCAAGGTTGTTGTCCAGATTTTTCACTTTAGTGGTGCCTGCAAAGACCAGTAATATTGGGGATTCCTAGTCAGTTCCTTGTAAATCCTGCCTGAGTAAGTGAAATGAAGAAGTTGAAAGCTGCAAATACGTCTCGCAGGGGTAAGTCCAAAAACTGTGAGTTGGTTGTACTTGGAGAATCAAAACTATTAGAAGAGGAGGGCTGTTTTGACATGGCGATCTTGTACCAGGGAGTGGGATTATGTCAATTCCTTGATGTAGAAGCCATGCAAGTGCTAGTTGAGGAGGAGTGCATCCATGCTTTGTAGCCAGGTTGGCCACTCGTGTGTACAAGACCTTGTTCTTATGTACATTCTCAGCTGCAAACCTAGGATGATACACATGCTGTCCCAAGAGTATGAACATGGAGTTAGTTTGTAGGAGCTGGAGTTATGTTTTAGATACTATGATGCTGCCTGGAACTACTTGTACGAGGCTGTAGGCGCTCTCACTTACCGACTCACTGTCGTCAGGAAAGGTTTCAACAACTCCTTTTCCAGCAAAGAATCCAACGCCAAGCGGACTATAAGCAACTAATCCAATTCCAAGTTCTCTGTTCGACAAAAAAAAAAAAAAAAAAGTAACAACAATCATTTCACCACGAATTTTCCAGATGTTCTTTTGTGTTTTACGGAGTTTGCCTGAAGGAAGGATGTACCTGCAAAGAGGGATGATTTCTTGTTCAATGTCACGGGACCAAAGGGAATACTGCATTTGCAAGGCAGAGATGGGATGAACCGCATGGGCTCTCCTGATCGTGTCTGGACTGGGTTCGGACAGCCCTATGTATTTGATCTTTCCTTCATTCACAAGCTTCTTCAGCTCCTCCATCTGCCTCATAGATTGAAAAACCCATCAATTCGAGAGTCACTTGTTGTCATTCAACCAAAAAAAAAAAAAAAAAAACAAAGGTGCATGGATGAAGGCAGGTTTGTCAAATCCATTACAGTGTCTTCTATGGGGACTGATTGATCTACACGGTGCTGATAGTACAGATCGATGCAGTCTACTCCAAGTCGGGCGAGGCTAGCTTCACAGCATTTTCGTACATACTCAGGCCTCCCATCGACTCTAAACTCACCAGCCTCGGTTATGTAGAGTCCAAATTTAGTTGCCAGCTGAATCTCTTGTCGAGGGAACTGCTTCAGAGCCTGAAATCACCACCACAATAAATTAACTTTCTCTTATACTGAACTGAAACACACTGTTTGAACATCATGGTATCTTTGTGGGTTGGTGTGAAGTGCCTTGTTTACCTTGCCAACCATGATTTCGCTTTCATGATCGTTGCCATAGAGATCGGATGTGTCAATGAAAGTGATACCACTTTTGACAGCATGGGCAATCAGAGAGCAAGCTTCTTCGTGACTAAGAGGAGCACTCTTTGTTCCAGCAAGAGATGCGCATCCGAATCCTAGCCTTGACACCTGCAGACTCAGAAAGCAAATCTCATCATGATCAATCAAGCTAAACTGCTAGTGTAATAAGTTAAGCTGCATTTCTATAGCCTGCAAACTGGGCTTACCTCTAATCCCTGATTGCCGAGTTTGACTTTTGGAATTTGAGTCTGCTGTGATTTCTCCATTCTGCAGAGAAAAGCAATAATAGTTTTGGAGTGATAATACTTAGATCAGTTTTTGATCTGTATTTTTGTGAAGGGAGCTACTGAGTAGCATTATAAGTACTAGTTAGCATGGTCTCGTGTTCCTTTTTTCTGAATTTGAAAAGGAGGGCCGGTTCCTGCCATGGACCTCTTTGGAAGGATCAAATTCACCTGACAGTGAACATTTATTCGTCTTATTACAGATGAGGACGGCAGAATAAAGCACCCAAAAGCAGTTCAAATATACCTTGGACGGCAAAAGGAGGAAAATTCCAAGTGGCTTACATCAAGACAACTCACAAAAACACAAGATTAATTAATTGGTTCAGACTCGGTCAACAAACTATTTACTGGGACATAGTTTGAAAGACATGTCTTGCCATAACATTAGTTTCGAATCATGCAAAACAGCCGACTTACCAAAAAAAACTCCCACTGGGCAGGCTCTCCACAACTGCTTTTCCAGCAAATAATCCATCACCAAGACTCCAAGAGAACTATAACTCAGTATACCAATTCCAAGTTCACTATCAAATTTAAAAAGAGAAGCTGAATAAGAAGAATGTTAAGGCAAAGAATTGGGAATTTCACTTACTCAATTCAACTAGACTCTTCCACCAAGTTCAAGGCCAGAACCGGAAGCATGAACACAAGTGAAATGACTAAGCTAGACGCGGATTGAGAACATATATACTGGCAGAGAGGATTTATCACTTGTTCAATCTCTCTGCTCCGTGATGAGTATTGCATATGTACTGCTGTAATGGGATGAACAGCATGAGCATTCCTGGTCCTGTCAGTGCTTGCTTCGGACAGTCCAATGTACTTCACCTTACCTTCATTCACAGCTTCTTCATCTCCTCTATCTAATCTCAAATCACCAAAAAAAAAAAAATTACATACCGAGACAAAGTTCAGTGCTGCAACTAAGCCTTACAAGCAAAACAAGAAAGGGACCCTTAGGTGTTTCGAAACTTTACAGCATCCTCCATGGGAACAGAATTATCAATACGATGCTGGTTATAGAGATGACGTGTCCCCTCCAAGTCGGTCAAGGCTAGCTTCACAGCATTCACCCACATAGTCAGGACTACCCTTTACCTCAAACAGCTTCTCTTCACCTACAATGATTCCGAATTTTGTTTCTAATTGAACTTGATCCCTGGGAAGCTCCTTTAGAGCCTGACAAATGATACCAACAAACACAATCAATCTGATAGCTCAAAAATTTCATGTCAAGTAGATAAACTCAATCCATCAACATCTGAAGAAGAGCATTGGATTCAGTTTCTTTTTTGACTACCTTCCCCAACATGATTTCATCATCATGATTACGTCCGTAGTCATCCGATGTATCAAAGGAGGTCACACCTTTATGGAAAGCGTTCTTCAGAAATTAACATCCGTCTTCGTGGATAAGGGGATCGTTTAGCAACCCAGAAAGCCCGACACATCCTAACCCTAGTCTGGGAACCTGAAAATACACGGAATTTTCAGGAAATTGACTTGACTGAAGTTAAACTCCAAAACCAAGCTGCTAAACTCGCCAAAACTACAGGAGAGCTTTTCCAAACTCCCAAAAGCTTTTATGTGCCATGTTCAAAAAGACAAACTTACCTCCAATTCTTAACTGCCCAGTTTCACTTCCGAAATTCTTGCGCTTGGTGTATCGTTCTCCAAATCAGCGCTTAGTGTAGAGCTTCCTCGCTGTCGCTGTCGCTGTCCGCTGAAGTGGGAAGTGTAGAAATGGCGTTCAGGCTTAGCTGATTGCTGCAACCAAACGTCTTTTTGTTCGTCAACATCAACTGATCAAATTTGGTGGGACGCCGTCGTTTCAGGTTGAACGGAGAACTGGCTCAATCGTTTCGTCCGACTCGAGAAGAAAGAAACGGGAGGAATAGCGCATAGCTAGCCACTAGCCAGGCCAGGGAGACGGAAACGACACCGCTTCATATCTAGCGGTTTTCTTTAATTTTGGTTTCACCAGCTAAATAATTTACTTTCACAGTTTCACCACCTACCGTGGTTTCCTTGTTTTCCGTCGCAGTAAGTTCCCAAAATTCCAATCTAAAAACAACGGGAAATCCGATTTGCTCGCATCAATAAACCAGGCATAGACCGGGGAAGAAAAGAGAGAGAAACTAGAAGAAATGGAGATGAAGCAGATCTACGTTCTGGCGGCTCTTTTGTTGAGCTTTGTCGGCCGAATCTCTTCCCTCTCCATCACCGTCAACGACGTCGAGTGCGTCTACGAGTATGTCTTCTACGAGGGAGACGCCATCTCCGGCAACTTCGTGGTCGTCGATCATGATATCTTCTGGGGCTCCGACCACCCTGGCATCGATTTCACTGTAATCCAATCCCCTTCCTTTCGTTCCAATTCCCTCCAATTTATGATCTCTGCGTTTTTTTTCCCGTTTCATTTCTCTATCATCTCTTTGAATTTGTATATGTTATAAGAAAATTTTGGCAAAATTGAAGAATAGGGTTCTGGTGAACGTTTTCCCTATACTCAATGAAGATTAAATCGCCAGTTGTTTCTTCCTTATTGTAATCCGCTAGGAACGTAGCTTGAACTTTACTGTTGCATATGTTTCATCTCTGGAATAGGGCTGTTAGACTCTCAATTCCGGATTCACTAAGCCCTAAATGTTGATATCTTGTTACATTTGGCTCCGTAGATTAACGGTGTTATGGTTCCCTCGTTTCTCTGGCCTGCAACAAATGAAGCGTGATTGTGAATTTGTTCCGTGCTTAGGTTCCCTTGTTTTGTTCAAAACAGCTATTAGAGCAGGCACCTGTTGTATACTTTCTTCCCTATTCATATTTATATATTGAAAAGTTGGATTTTTTTTCCCATATAGGTCTCCTCACCTGGAGGAAACGTTGTGCACAACATAAAGGGGACATCTGGGGATAAGTTTGAGTTGAAGGCGCCAAGAAGCGGGATGTACAAGTTCTGTTTTCACAATCCCTACTCTACGCCAGAGACCGTGTCATTCTACATTCATGTGGGTCACATTCCCAATGAGCATGATGTTGCAAAAGATGGTTGGTGGATCTCTCTCTTTTGTTGTTAATCATGAGTGTCTGTGATCTGGGTTTTGTAAGGCACTCTTTGTGGTGATCCTTTGCTTGTTAACTTAAACTGGTTATGGTCTTATGGAGCCTAGCGGCCATGATTATGTGATTGCTTCTGTGTTGAGATAAGTAGATTGATAATATGTTATAGGCTCATTCATATACTAACACGGCTTGTGACTTACAGAGCATTTGGACCCAATTAATGTGAAAATTGCCGAGCTGAGAGAGGCGCTGGAATCTGTTACAGCAGAGCAGAAGTACCTGAGGGCACGAGACAATAGACATCGGCACAGTAAGCTGCTTCGTTCCTCTTGTTTTCTTGAATTCTATAAACTCCTAAATACCCTAGTACATGACGAAACTTCGAATTTTTTCAATATGTGATGTCTATGAATGTACTATGCTGGTATAGTTCCAACCAGAAAGTAGGAATCCCTGATGGGCTTCTGTTCTTGTTTAACTCTAACTCGCTAATGGTTCACGTTTTCGCTGTTGCTAATTGAGTATATAGCTGCTATAGAAGCTGTAATTTGATTTACAATTTGTTGCCAGTAGCTCTGTTTATGTAACTTAGCTTGCTCTGTTTCTTCTGCAGCAAACGAGAGCACAAGAAAGCGTGTTATTGGATACACCGTTGGAGAATACCTTTTGCTGGCTGCCGTGAGCTCACTTCAGGTTTTATATATCCGCCGCCTCTTCAGCAAGTCGGTGGCGTACAATCGTGTTTAAGTGAGGGATCAGTCGATCTAAGTTATTGTCCATTAAGTTACGAGTTAATAGAGGAAACTAGTAGATGAACCTAGAAAAATGTATGCTTTATACAAAAAGAAACCCAGCTGGGTCTTTTTTGAACTGTTAACAGTTTTTGCATCCTAATTACAAAGCTCTTTCCAGGACACGCATGTTTAACCGAGTATAATCAACTACACTTTGATGCATGTTCAAGCTTCAAAAAGAATTTCCAGTTCCCTGTAACTTCTGTGGAGAACTGGGTTTCAGTGTCTTGGGAGTTGGGAATGTCCGTCTGCCAGTTGAGGTGTAGTCCCCCGCTCCATCTTCTCCATGGTTGATATGCTCAAACATCAATCTCGAATTTGAAACCATTGTTGTGTAAACCGAGGAAGAAAAGGAAAGATGGCTCTCGGGGGATTTGAGTATGGGCCATTCATAACCTGACTCTTTGGAGGACATTGTGGAAGTAACGCTCATGCTTAGCTCAAGGTTGTTGGACAGTCATGTAGTAGGAGGCTATGACTGCGGAACTGTTATGAACGCAGAGGGGACAGGGTTGACGCGGCAAGAAACTCTTATGAACTCTGGCAGATTAGGTTTACGAGCTTAATATGTGCAGTTGATCTGATCAGTCGGCATTCATACACTCAACAAACACGAAACAAATGATCCTGATTGCCCAGAAATATCGATTTAGCCTGTCCTCAAAACTGTGTGAAAAACAACTACTTCATAAACCAATTTGATCGAAGAGAACAAAGATCCAACTTCGTAATTAAGGCATATCGAGGCACATGAATGAATAAGAGAGCGAGCCAATTTCCATTCATAAACGGGTCTTCAAAGAGACCGTAGTAAACGAAAGACACGTCCAGAGATGTAGCATTTTACTTGCTACATGCGAATGGTGAATCAGACCATCCTCGAGCTAGCATGAATGGGTGAAAAACTACATAAGCTCGTCAGCCAATACTTCTAATTCAAGAGAAGATGATTACTGTATCAACATATATATATATATATTCATATATAAACCTACCAACGACTTGGAAGGGAGAATTTCAAGCCTCTTTGTAACAAAAGTCTCACATTACAGGTCAGTTCAGCCCCCAACATAAGATGCTTGTCCTACACACTGGTTTTAAAGGTTGTCTTTGAAACTAAGATGGATCGAACATAAGTCGGAAGGAAGCAGTTGGGAGTTTGGTCCACGATAGATACATCAGTTGTAGAGTAGGAATGACCTGGATCATGTCTCACTTAGGGTTCCTGAGCACAATGATGACTGAATCACCACGCAGAAACATTTTACTGATGAACCTGTCTTTGTTCACTGGCTGTGCCTTCTTCTTGCCCTTCCCTGTTTTCGGCACCTGGTGTGATTTAAAGGATGCAGCAGAGATGAAATTATTATTTGACAATAGCAGTCTTAATTGGGAGAACACTGATTATATAAAACATTGTATCGTTAGACAAAACCACAGCCAACCAACCTCAGTCCACATCTCCCTGACGTTTTCCAAGACCATGTTGCAGTGACGGTCAAATGCCCTCACACGCCCAAGAAGCTTCTTGTTGTTCCTGCAGTTTATCAGCACCTGTGCACGCATCCCAAACAACAATTAAGATACGAATGCTAGTAGTCAACAGAACAAGAAAACAAACGAAAAGTTTAACTCAATCTAACTAATGCATACATCCAAGCAATAAGTAAACTCATCCCAACAACCATTGTCTTTTGAGTAGGGATGGCAATGGGTCGGGTTGGGGCGGGTTTTGTCAAACCCAAACCCAAATCCATGGGTTTATCCTCCAAAAAAACCCGGGGTAAAACCCGTTGGGTTTGAAAAACTCAAACCCAACCCAACCCGCTGGGTATCCGCGGGTTCATGGTTACCCGTGGGTTTTTGTGGTAACAAAATTACAATAACAAGTTTCTTTCAAAATAAAAGTTTAACATCAATTTTCTCATACAAATTAATCATACAAAAAAAACCAATCTAGAGCATACAAGCAAACCGCAAATGATCAATACAAATTGTTGAAAATTAAAGATAAACATCTATAAACAAAAGATTAATTGAAAGCTTCTTCCTCGTCAACTAAGTTTCTTCACTCTCCACTTCATAATATCAACTTCATTCTAAACAATTAGAAAGAACAAATTATACATGTCTCCACAAACATAAAGAATATTAATTTTTTAAGGAAAATATATTATTTAAAATATTAAATATACTGGGAAAGTAATTATATGTGTGTGGGCGGGTACCCATGGGTCGGGTTTACCTAAACCCAAACCCAACCCGACCCGGTGAATAGTGTAGCGGGTTTAAACCCGAACCCGGCCCAAAACCCGTCAACACAGATTTTACCCGCGTTGACCGGGTTGGGTCGGGTGGGTACCCGTGGGTTCGGGTTTTGTTGTCATCCCTACTTTTGAGACAGAACTCTAAAGTATCTATTTATTTAGATAGTTGCTTGCAACAGAAGAGGTCATTTAAGTCAAAAGCCAGGATATTAACAAGAATCGACCTGGGTGTTATTCTTCACACTCATCATAAGAACAGAAAGTGGACCAGTGCTGAATTCTTCCTCCTTGCTCTGTGCAAAAAAGAACCGAAATCATCAGTGTTTAAAGAAGATAAACAATGTCACCAATCGCATCTTACAATGTCACCGAAGATGAGAACAAATAAAACTCATGGTCCAATGATAATTGCAAGGGTATCACCAATCGCATCTTACAATGTCACCGAATGAGCACAAATAAAACTCATGGTCACCGAAGATGAGAACTCTTTTTCTTTAGTTAGGGTCGGCTTCCCCTATTATATAACCTGATCTACCAAATAAAACTCATGGTCACCAATCGCAGCTTACAATGTCACCGAAGATGAGAACAAATAAAACTCATGGTCCAATGATAATTGCAAGGGTATCACACAGTTCCACACCAAAGTCCACATTTTAGTGCCAAGTAAACAATTTGTTTGTACGCAACAAGTGATAAATAGACCTTTGCAGAAGCCTAAACAATAAGCAACCAGACAGTGCATCAGGAAAGGTAACAATCATCAAGCAATAGCTGTTGCCCCTGAATGAGCACATTGACTCTTGGCATGTCAGATCACAATGGAAAAAATTCATCCTAGAGACATGCTATGAAAGTACAGTCACAATTCGTAAAACAGTACCGTGTCTTATTGTTTCCTTCACTGAATATCTCAGATTCAATTGTATAATTACTTGGGAGTTGATATATGTAAAACACTAGTTTCTGCCACGCTTCTACAGCTATAAAAAACTAACATATTCGCTCCCGCCACAACAGTTAGAGACAAATGGCTGCTACATCTATCACAATGGGCTAGAAAGGACATCTTCACCCTCTTCCTAGGGCAAGTACAAAGTTCAGATGCGTCTCACGTGATCATAAAATGAGAGAGGTGTTACTAATCTAAGCCTACTAGGTATTATTACACAACTAAGCATCCGCCCGATGAACAAAATTGCATTGTTGCGGGAAGTACTTTGAAATCACTGTCAGCTAATGACGTTTAACGAAATTGTCAACAAAAACCAAACTTAATTTACTGCCAATAGGTGGAAGGCCTTAGCCTAATTCCTCATAATAATATAGTAAAAAGATCAGTCATGAAGCAAAAAAGTATGCAAAAATCATCTCTAGCAGAAAAACACAGATTTTGATGCAATGTACGACGTGAATTCGACAACACAGCATTAGGAGGACCAAAACTTAAAAAAAAAATGACAATAACTTAACAAGGCAGCAAGAACTTACTGGAGCATCCTCTTCCATTGGCCGGCTGCAAAAAGACAACCAAACAAGAAGGAGAAAACTGTTAGCATACTGATCTATACGACTGTGCGGCAAATAACCGAAAGGAAGAACTGAAACTAACACAAGACTGACTAACTTAGTAAGTAACAGTGTCACCAACTAACCCCAGAGGACAAATTAAGCTGCAGGTTCATTCAACCAGTCACATCATAAACCTCTACTTGCGATTATTAAGATTATCGAAGCTGGGGGATAGAAGTTAAAGTTCAATCAGCCACCCAAGCAGACAAATCTCAAACATCATAAAGTGTATCCACATTGCTAGGGTTTCGAGTGGAAAATTGGAGGGCGCCAATGGACCACTGGCAAGCTCTCCACACAAACTAGAAAAGAGCATGGGGAAGCTCGAAATTTACCTCATTGTTGGTTCAGTTTCTTCCTCGCGCGGTCCCAGAAACCTGCGAATTGGAAGCAACAGATACGGAGCTAGGGTTTAGCGGGAGGTTTTTGAGTTCGTGGCCTGGTTGTGGGTACAGAGTACAGACACAGATCGATTTCCGCGTACGGGGAAGCGAAAGGTGCCGCTTCCGCAACTTTTAATTTGGGTTCCCGATTTTTTCCTCTTCCTTTTCGTCTGAGCTGTCTGGGGAAGCCTGTTAGACCGAATTATGGGCCTCAATAATACTCGGCCCAGCATTGCATTGTTATTTATTAGCCCATGGCTAAATATGGTGTCAGGGCCCCATTAATCAATTCATTCTCTATTCACTTTTTAATCTTCAAATACTTTTTTTTACAATATATTAGCTAGAAAGATTAAGTAGCGGGAAATTATAACTATTAACTACAACTATCGAAATACAAATTATTAGTCATAACTATTGTTACGAGTCAAGATATAGCTAACAGCGTGTTATCGTTATTAAATTTTTAACGGAGACTGCCACATTTATATTCATATTAGTATCTATGTCGTAAAATATAATAATAATAATTTATTTAAGTAATCATTATTATTATCATAAAAAAATAGAAAATCTCCTCTCACACAGGTCTTCTTCCTCCTCCCTCCCATCGTTCTTCTTCCTCTGCTGCACTACTCCGCTGCCACCGTAATTGATCTAGTGGCCCAAAATGGGAAGAACTCCCCACAACAACGACGCACCCAACGAAGAGATGCGGAAGACCTGCAGCATTGCACCCCTGCCACATTCTTCCTTGCTGCTAGGGAACAACCGTAATTGCGTCCCCCCACTGCGTCACCGTCACCACCACCGCTAATCCTAATCGAGAAATTGATGATTCTGTTCTTAGGACAATCAATCAAAGAATTTATAACGCGTGATCGCTAATTCTTGATATTTTTCAATTAATTCGAAGAATTTACAAGATTTCTCCAACAAACAGGAAGAAGAGAATCTCTAAGTACCATTTTTAATTTGGGTCTGATTCACCGACACCAATTGATCTGGACAGCCCATTTAAGAGATTAAATGGATAAGGTTGAACTTTTTTATTTATTTATTACGATAAGGTTGAACTTAACTCCAACACAAAACGTGATAGCCTAGTTGGGGAAACTTTAGATCATTTTATTATATCAAGAATAAATTTAAATCCTTAGCTATTAGCTAATGAAGTAATAATTGATTATTAAAATGCACATTGGTCATTGGACGGTTGCCTCATGCCTGGCAGCAGAATTTGCACTACCACCCACCGTCCATTGCGTTGACTAGGCAATCAATTATGAAAGCATCTCTCGCCAATTAATCATGGTGCACGCGAATCAAAGACAAATTTTATTGCTGCCCTTTTCCTAATAATCTTCAAGCTGACCATTATTATTAATCACAATCCAATCCACAGACCTCTTAAACAAGACATACGTAAAAGCTCCTTTTTATTGTTAGTTTTCGTAATTGCAAATTTGCAATCTGTAAGCTAATAAGCATCGATTAGACAAAACAGGACATTAATTTGCTAAGTTTGAAAAAGAAATTGTGAGAAAAATCCAAAACAAATCCGATTTACTAGACACCTTTATTTAACTAACCACGACTGCTCCTCTCTTTTCCTTCCCTTCCCTTCTCTTCTCTCCACAAATCTTCGTTTGCTCTCTGGTGCGATTTTCAGACAAACAAAGCAGTGCACGCATTTCTGGCCCCAGAATCCAAATGTTGGCTGTGTTCGATAAGAACGTCGCCAAGTGCCCGGCGGAGCTCCAGAGCCCTGCCGCCGGGAGTGCCGCCTCCGCTCTCAAAGATGGGTTCATGGCCAAGCATTTCGAGTCCCTTCACCCCGGTTCTGTCATCGTCAATCTCGGCTCTTCTGGGTTGATCGCCTACTCTCTTGCCAAGCAGAACCCTCTCGTCCCTAGGTGAGTAAATTTGATATTCCATTATTCAATCTTCTTCATTCCTAGTTTTATTACTCTTGTCCTGTTTTAAACGAGCACTTTTTTAGTGATCTACCTCTTCTGTGTGCTGATCTGATATGGTTTTTTGAACTGATTGATTAGATGGTTGGATTGATTGGATTGGATTGGATAGGATAGGATTGGATTAGATGAGATTAGGGATGGCTCCATTAATATGTGATGAGCTAGAGATTTGTCAATGGGGTGGGTGATGCAAGTAGATCTTCCTGTTCTCGCTTTTTGCCAATGTGAGTCATTGTTATACATTAGGAAAGTGTGGATAATGTCAGTGTTTTCCCTTTTGGCTTTTCAGGATGTAAAAATGTAGATGATCTGTGTTCAGTATTCTTGTTCTGATGTATTGGATAAGGCTTCCTCTCGACCTTTCCTAATTAATTAGGTTCCCCAGCTAGATGTTTCGACTTTCGTCCATGTAGTCAGTGCATTAATTGATTTCGTTGTAGGATTCGGATTTTTCGTAATCTAGGGTTTCTTTCTAGGCCACTCTAAGATCAAAACGTATATATTTTTCACATGATGTGTGTGTTCATATGATGTGTGTGTTCATGTATGTTGCTTACTTAACAAAACTCGGTTGGTTCGTTCGTTGATAAGTTGTATATTGTTCTGGTGATAGGTTATTCGCGGTGGTGGATGACATATTCTGCCTGTTCCAAGGCCACATTGAGAATGTAGCCGTCCTGAAGCAACAGTATGGGCTAAACAAAGCTGCAAACGAGGTTATCATCGTCATTGAAGCTTACAGGACTCTCAGAGACCGTGGGCCGTACCCTCCCGATCAAGTCATCAGAGACATCCAGGGCAAGTTTGCTTTCGTTCTCTACGACAGCGCTGCCAAAGCCACGATGTTTGCTTCTGTGAGTCACAATCACAAACAATCCTCTGCTTCTATACGTAGTTGATTTTGACCACCTTCTATCATGCCATGGAGGTTGAAATAAACCGAGTTGTTTTATACCACGTTGTACAGGATGCTGATGGAAGTGTACCCTTCTTCTGGGGAACTGATTCTGATGGCCATCTTGTTCTTTCTGGCGACACCGAAGTTGTGCAGAAGGTTTGTGGTAAATCTTTTGCGCCATTCCCCAAAGGTAATCGCTGCTTTTGAGATCCCTTCAGAATGTGTCTCTATATACAGGAATGAAGGTGGTTGGGTAATGATGAAGTCTCACTATCCTGCTTCTGTTTCTTCATTCCTGTTCTCCATCTCAGGATGCTTCTTTACCACTTCTGGAGGGTTGAGGAGCTTCGAGCACCCGCTGAACGAGTTGAAGCCGATACCAAGAATCGACAGCTCAGGCCAGGTCTGCGGGTCGAACTTCAAGGTGGATGCGGATGCTAAGAAGGAGAGCAGTGGCATGCCCAGAGTCGGAAGTTCGTACAACTGGTCCGAGCACTACTGAGCAACAGCCGCCGAGTTATAAACCCCCCAATCGGCAAGGCTTTTCTTATTAACAGGCCTTCTTCACCCATTGGCTTTGACAACTATCATCTTGTTTGAATTTTTTGCTTTGTTCTAAGATGTTGCAACCTTTGTACTACTGGTATTTAGTATCTGGAGAGCTGCTGTACATGTTGCTCAGTATCGAAACTCGACAAAAGGGGGATTCCTGCTCCTGCTGAATGAATATATCATCATGAAATAAGAATGTATTTCCCTGTACATGGGATTTGCCAACTACAGTCTTGTTCGAGCGACCATGACGACATAAGTTGTTCGTTTCACAATGGTTACTGGATTACATATTTAATAGACCAATTCCTATCGAGATAACTGTAACAGATTAACAAGAGGAGCTGCTAGCTAATCCTGGGGATCTTGACGCTTCCACTGGAACTAAAAAGGAATAGAGGAACAAACGTTCTACTAGTCTTTTTTGCTTACTCAAGATGGTGAAGCAGCAAATCTGGTTGGTTTAGTCCTTCGCATCTGCAATGCCTCCTGGTGTTATCTGAAAGACGTGTTTCTGTCAAGGAGAACAGCAGTCCATAATAACGGGGGGTTTGCTTCTCCAGGGTTTTTATAAAGAAAGGACTCGAGAGAAGCAGAGTGATGATAAACAAATGAAAGGATATTGCTTCAGCCTCGGGAAGATTGGGGGCGTCAAACACCTTGCAGACACGTTGCTCGCCTTTGCCTTTCCTGAACATCAGCCTGATTGTGGCAGCATGTGCTAGCACGTGCCCTCCTGCCGGTTTCTTGGGGTCTGATATGAATACTCCACCGCCAGGGTCAGCAATCACTGCAACCACAAACAAATCAATAAGCAAAGAGGTTTGTATCAGGGCATCCCCTCTCTCCCTTTGGGATTTGTATATATGACTTCAGGCTTTGCCAAGGCCGTTAAATGGACAAATGGTTTAGCTAGCAAGTTACCTTGGTTGGTCATGTAGACAGCCACGTTGAATTCCTCGGCTATCTTGGTCATTCTGGATAACATCTGTGCCAGCTTTTGCTGTAGATAAAAAGTTCTTGATACTGTCAGTTACTGTTGCCAACCATACAGCTATGGTCTCGTATTAATGTGCAAACGAAAGTGGAGGCACCATGGATTCACCTGTCGATCAGCAAGTTCGCCTCTGCCAGTGAAATCCACTCGGAAAAGAGCAATCACAGAGTCCACAACCTGAATTGAATACACAGGGACGAACAAAGTGAATTCGGTGGCCTTAACAGGAAGAAAGAGTCAAGTCAGTCTGTCCGCTTAGATAGATGGGTAAGTCAACTAGCTAAACGTACCAGAAGTCTGAATGGTTCTTCAGACATTTTTGCTGCCAGACCAAGGAGCAGATTGTACTGGTGCTCATAAGTGTATGCCCGAGCATAAATGATCTTCAAAATCAAAAGATAGCTTAAGTGAGAAAAACCTGTGATATGGTTGATTTACTAATCCAATCGGTTCTGGTAAGGACACAATTTTCTTTTACGTTATCAAGCACTGCTCCTGGATCCATGCCAAATCTTTCCGCAATTGGAACAATTCTATCAGGGCGGCTGCAATAATTCAAAGTTAAGGAAGAAACATGCGACAGCACACTGTATGAGACATCTTTCATTAATTTTTCCTGTGGAAAGAGGCAACGAAACGATCAAGGATACAATGTCCCTTCAGTATCTATGTAAGCAACTTTGCCATTCCCTCCATTCATGTTGGTGGGCAGCTGCAGACACAAACATCAGTGGTCAGTTACGCTTTGTATGTAAGACTCAAGAGGCTTCTAGATCAATCCAAGGCAAATAGGGAAACCATTTCATGGAGGGGTTTTCAGGTGAAGGAATAAAGGCACATAGCATTCTGTCTATCGAAAGACCAAATGCTGGCATGCCATTTTTATGTCTTACAATAGCCTCTTAGCAGATAATTTTTCAGACAACTTCTACTGCAGCATGCTCAAGGAAGTAGGTTTGGAGAGTAACCTGAGTGGACACACAGAGTGTATGTGCAAGCTGCGTCTTCCCAGACCTGAAGGCATTTCGGTGATCAGTCCTTAGGTATGTACTTCAGTGTTTAAGAATTACCAGAGAGCAGGATAGAACTTAAGTAGCAGCAATACTATTCTTTTCCTACCTGAACTCTCCAAAGGCTTCTGTGATACACGAAGTTTCCACACCACCTAAAGAGACCGACAACCCAATTAGCATTAGTTACTTGGTGGAGCACAAGCTGGATTAACTACGATCCAGTGAAATAGAATAAACATTTCATAGCTATGAGGCAATACGAAGTCAAAATAAAACCCTCACCTCCCAGCAGTTCATCTAGTGCTTGGCTTCCAGTTGTGATGCGGATAACTGCCTTACGCTACAGGAAGGAAGGGGGAAAAAACACAGTCGAGGTTTAGATATGTGACAATTCAATGAATCACAAACAAACGTTGAAGAACAAGGTCTTATGCTGATCCATTCAACCATACATGATCTTCTTTATGATCAAGCTAACAAGGTAGGTTTGAACTTACTTTGAGTAGAGCGTCACTGCCAGTCATATAACCAAAATTCTGGAAAACAGAAGCACAGTGATTTTGCTTTAGATAGTAAAAAAGTCATTTCAATATTTATCCGGACTAAGAGATCGTTGCTGCAGGCATTACTAACCACTATCTTTTCTGCAGCTTCACATATCTTATCAACCTTAGCCTCAGACAAGCCCTTGATCCCGGTCAAGTGCTGCCAGCCAAACAGGAGTAATTATACTGATGATCGATCACATTGCGCAAACTAAAACTGTCAAATAGACTCGTTCTTTTAACTGTACCTTCTTTGTATGCATCATAAGGCCATTGCAGGTGTAGATCCCCGCATCTTGCAGCTTCTTCACATCTCCAGAATTGATTCCTTGAGATATCACTGCAAAAACAGCGCGCAATCCTTAGTAAACAGAAAGGACGTGAAGTTGAAACCACAGAGAGGAAATCTCAGGAAAACTTAAGCGATCAGTAGCAAACAAGTAACATAGATCACAAAATCTAAAACACGCTAGCTATGCCACAATAAACGGAGCAGCAGTTCAGTTCATCGAGGGAGACCTAACTGCTCTAAAGAACAGCGAGGATTTCTCGTAAAAGCTCGACGATCTAATTAACAACACGAGATCTGAGAAGATGAAGCCATAGAGAAAGCTAACACGTCTTCGTTCAAAATTACCTGAACGGACGAAAACAAGCCATATCAGCAGAAACACCCGCCCGTAATCGACAGGAAACACGAAAGAGAACTCGCTCTGTACAGCCTAGCCTAGATGCTGTCAAGTTATCCCGAATTTTCAATACCAGATCAATCTCAACCTTAACCAAACAGCTAAAACTGAACGATAACGATCAGATCTACGGATGCAACAGAAACTAATCACTGAGGAAATATGACAAACACGTAGAGAGCAATTCTGCAAACAGGTGAGAGACTATACGCACGCTTATCGATCGCTTCGAACAATTCCTCTTCGTCGTCAATTTCCTCTCGCTCAACCAACTGCAACTGGTTCATCTCTTCGGCTCTACAGAAACCGCACGAGGAAATGAGCACGAAGCGGATAGCTCAAATCTTGCCGGAAAAATAATGAATATCAAACAAGCAGAGACGGAGAGAAGCGTAGAACTTACTTCAGAGTGGCGATCATCTTCACGGTCTGTAGCGAGCAGAATTCCAAGCGCTTGTTTCCGCTTCTCTAAGCTTTCTGAAGCACTCTTGATAGTCTGAGACAGAGAGTGACAGAGGCTCAGAGCATTCGAAATTCTCTGAAAGAACCGAAAATTTGAATATGATATTATGAGCCGCTTGGAGGAGGCTCGACTTGCGTGATCTTTTAAAGGCGGGAAAGTAGAATTCAAGGGTCCCCCCCTTGAGTTGAAAGTTTACACGTGGCGGGGAGTCCTGCACCTGCTCTGCGATTATTTTCTGCGTAGGGCCCGCTTGAGCCAGCCTCAGCGATCTTGCCATGTGGATTGCGAATACACTAGTGGGCCTTTCAATTTTCGCCAACCCAGCAGCACTCCCAGTCCCAGGTTCCGGAGATCCGGGCCATGGGCAGGAATTTTAAAGAACTCAAAGTGGATAGATATGGTTGTGCAACAGTTTGGTTCAACCTCGTCCAAACTCATGAGAATTGTGGTTTAATAAGATGTCAGTGGAGTATTAGGGTATGGCGATCCTCAGTTTTCATATCATTATTTGAAATGGAACCTAGTCTATCAGCAAGAAGCAGGCTTTGTGAGGTGATGGAGAAAGTGGAAGGTGAATACTAGGAAAGCTAGCTATGATTCTATGGTCGTTATGGAATGAGAGAAACAATGATATGTTCAATAACAGGAAATCCAAAGAATGGGAAAATGTGGGTAAAGCCATAGACTACTGGGAGAAATTCAATTCACACCACACCTAAGAGAAACAAGAAATACAAGAGGAGATACAAGTTACTTGGGAGATGCCGAAAGTGGGATGGATGAAGATCAATATGAACGTTGCAATGATTAACAGGGAAGGAACATGTCTGAGTATGGTGGCTCGCAATGAAATGGGAAAATTCTTAATCGCGCGGTGAAGAGGGAACGCATTCAATGGTCGCCAGAGCTGCGAGCGTTGAGTTTTGGCCTGGAAATGGCAAAAATGCATGGACTCCACCCAACAGTCATCGCAACAGATTGCCAGCAGGAGGTCCTCAAACTCCAGAGGACGGATGTCTCACAATTGGAAGCTGGGCGGATCGTTGCTGAGCTGCAGGATGATGTTGATCGGATCAGGGGAATATGGTGGTGTTTTGCAAAGCGCATCTTTAACTGAGCTGCACACACACAATGACTCATACAATTTGTCAATGGGAGGCCCAATAGTCTTGGGTTCTCAGACCACCTGTATTCTTGCTAGACATTTTGGCTAAAGACTCTGCGGTCCATTAAATAAAATACATGTGTGATTATAAAAAAAAAGTATACATCTTACGGATAGGACTATTCATGCATTCTGTTTCAATTTAGTTTGGTCTATATGTCAATTCGGCCTATAATTTTAATATTTCACGGAACCAGTGACCGAAATGCATTATATTCGGGTTGGTATGGTCGGTTCAAACATTGATATGATCTTGTATGCTTAGGTATACAAACCAAACCGTTGCACACCCCTATACATAAGCACGTACTTGTGGTCATCCTCTATGTATAAACTCTATAGAGTGATTTTTTTGTGTGAAAATAACAACCATTCAAGATAGGAGAAAAGCCATGTAACTGAACCACTATGCTAGATGTGATTGCTTTACTTCATAGTCACGAATACATCTATTTTCCCAGTTTAGTTTAGGGCTAGGGGGGGAGGGGGGGGGGGGGGGCATGGCCCCCCTAGCAATGAGTTGGCTCTGTCCCTCATTGACAACAAACTTCTTTTGCTCACGAAACTTAAAAAAAACTGTAGAACTATGACACCAGCGAGGCCAACTATTTGGTTGTATAGCCTCGTACACCTCTTTTAACTAAAAAAAAGGAAGGAACTAAAAGAGTTCTAAAGCTGTCTCTGCCGCCTCCCAAAGAGAAACTGGCTGCCACTCCTACAGGATCAGGATACTTTGATTACGTATTACGAAAATATCGTTGAAGTAGGACGATGTTCACAGTTAGTCCAAATGAGGAGATACTTTGATCAATCAACTGATGCCTTGAGCAACTAAATAATGACTAGTACTCGGCCCGCGCTCCGCGGCGGGGTAATTTTGACTCCAGTCGTTTTGTGGATTTTATCATGTTCTTTTTGCTATACCATTCGCAAATAGTTGAGATTCATTGCGGCAGAGTGCGCAGAAATGTATTGGAGATTTAGTTTGTCAGGACATATTAACAAACGATAGTATCTAATGCCCTCGATGAAATTTAAAAGTTTGTGCACAGCACACAAACGCATCTGCCATAGTTTTGTCTTCATTGAAAATAGGGAATAGAAACTTTAGTTCAAAATGGAGGATTCTAAGGGTGGATAGGATACTTCGGTAGGTCTTTCTGTCAGTGGTGCTGATGGTCACTTGTCTATCCTTGAGGTATGCCAAAGTGTCGCTACTCTTATGTGGGATACGGCTGTCCTGGTTCTGTTCTTCAGATCTGAGGAACCGATGTAGAGCTCTCCTGCAAACATTCTGCTACATCTTTTGACCAGCAACGCCTTGGCCGATTCTGCATCGAGTTTTTTGTATTTGCTGGGTGACATTCCTATTATTGAGAGCATAGCCTCGTGCGCCCTGCTGCGGGATACGCTTCATTTGTGTAATCTTCTGTTGTCGTAACTCAAAATTAATGCAGAGTCGGGGAGCGTACAAATGGAAACAACAATTATTCTTGGCCCGCGCTCGGCGTTAAGACAGGCGGTTCAATTTCTTTTAAAACAATTGTGGAAATTTTGTATTCGCGTCGGACTACGTGACTTATGAATGACATTAGAATTATCTAACCTATTTAGTGAATTCAATAATTAAAACTATATAAGCAAAGCACCGATCAATTATTTACACACCATGGCACATAGTGATACTTTGCAATTGCATGGATTGTACATTGGTGATGTTTTGAGAGCTGATGTGTTCATAATAATATAAGCAAATGACCAAAAGAAAGGTCTTAGTGCAATACTCGTAGAGATCAAAATTAACCCTCTTTAGAACAGTGTGGTTCATCTCTGAACTGTGGGAGCTCCAACCCGATTCAAGAGAACTTCAGCGTTCTGCAGGAAAATATACAGCAGATCACCAGCTATCTAAATACATAGACATCACTTTCAAAACCCAATACTAATGCAGGGACAGACTTAATAGAATGAGCACAACTTGACTTGATAATTAAAGGAGAAAAAAATATGAAAAGGCCATCTATAATTGAACATACAACAATTCTGGTGTACAAATAAAATCATCAAAATGGTTATTGGAAATTGCCTAGGCTTGTCAAGGCCTCAATCTACCTTCAACCTGCTGCTAAACATCTATTCCATAATGACTCACTTCTACTATCACTCCAGGAATTGGCCAAGTGTAACCACTTTCTAAAGCGTAGTATAGCGGGTTTAGGTTTAAATGTCAACCCGGGTCCTAGATTTGATGACTACTCGGTGAATTCTTGTTATCTAGCAATGAAACTTTAATGCAAGTCTAAACTAACAAAGCAAGTAAACTGTTGTATTCAGGTTAAGAGAGGTCACCCGGATATGGTTCCCCCTAGACTGCAGTTAAGCCGGATTGTAATTACCAAGTCCAGTTTCTATGATAGTTATACTGTGGAAGGTTCTTAAACAGCCTGAAGTCTCGACTAAAGGTCTTCAGACCCTCTCAATCTGAGTCTCTAGCGGGCGACTAACCTCCATCGGAGTAAACAAATTGAGGCCTTAACAAACAAAACCTCCACTACCGGAGTAAATCCGGTACAGAATAGTGGGTTGGCTCCTCGACTAAAGTAACCAACTCCCTACCTTCAATCAAGGATGCTCTATCAACCTAGGCAGATATTCTCATTCTAGGTCAAAGCAGAAACAACAGGAATTTGATCAGGATTCAAGTTATTCAATCATTCAAACCTCAATCGAATATAATCAAATCATAGAATCAGTACTTGGGTTCATACAATCAAAGCCTAACATACAAATCTAGTTTTCTCCATACCCAGATGAATGGGAGAACTACTCCATGGAGAAAGAAGCAAAAGCAGAATCAGACGCGGAATTCATACTGTGAAGGATGGATTCCTGCTCCTGGACGTTGATCGGCACTTCTCCAAGCTCAAACTGGCCTTCAATGGTGATGAAGATCAAGCTAGGGCACTTGGAGAACTACTCCATGGAGAAAGAAGCAAAAGCAGAATCAGACGCGGAATTCATATTGTGAAGGATGGATTCCTGCTCCTGGACGTTGATCGGCACTTCTCCAAGCTCAAACTGGCCTTCAATGGTGATGAAGATCAAGCTAGGGCACTTGGAGACTCTTGTTCGTCGCTTTCTCTCTCTAGGAATCGCTCTATCTCTCTCAAAACTCGAATCCCCTTCTGTTTTGGCTGAAATATGCTTAAAAAGGCATCAGTGGCCAAAGCACGGTCGAGGGCACGGCCGTGTAATGCCTCAGCCCGCCCGTGCTTTGGCTAGGGTTAATTACACGGCCACTGTGTTGGGAGAAACACGGGCGTGTTTGATGATGGACACGGCCGTGCTTTGGTGGACACGGCCGTGCTTTCAGCCCGTGTTTGCAGCTTGAATTTGCCAAACTCAATTAGCTCTCGGCAGTAAAAGCACGGCCACAGAACACGGCCGTGTTCTGTTTTAGGTGTGCCCGTGTTTTGACCCCAGCTCGACAAAATGACTTCCGAATGCCCCGAAACGCGTGCTTAGCCTTTCCTTTGACGCCTGGGACCTGAAATATGACAAAATAGCACAACCCGGCGTAAAATAGGCCAAAAATACATGACTATGCCATCAAACGGATAAGAACTAGGGGCGCAAATATGTGCAATTACATCGTTATCAAATTCCCCCACACTTAACGGTTTGCTTGTCCCCAAGCAAACCAAACTCAAACCAATGCAGCTCTCCAGACCTCTATAGCAACAAACAACCCAGATCGTAGGTAGAGGACTTCCTAGATCATTTAGCAACTTACGAGGTCAACCGACGCATAAGTCATCTCATAGCTTCTTCGGCGAGAGCACTAGTCTCGAGTCGGCATCATGGCAAATAGTGAACAGAGGACAAATGAATCGTGGATGAAGAGATTCTCAAAAACAAAGGATCATGGACTCACATTTTTCAAGGTGCTCTATTTTCTTCTTGAAGATGGTTGGTACCCCATTTCTTTCTGTTTTGCTTGTTTTCTGTTATTATTTTTTTTTTCAAGGGTCCCAACCTGCTTCTCAGAAAATGGGGGCTCCCACCTAGCAGAGGTTTTGCGGGAGCCCGGCTCTTACCGGCCATGCCAGGAGCGGATGTCTCGAGCCTCGTGCGGGGGAAAGACATGTAAGGGGGCTGGAGGTAGTAGGTGGAAATTGGGAACGGATTCCCGTCTCCCCTTACACACTTTCGCCCTATTCGCACGGGAGACGTTATTTTGAAGCACATTTTCGAGCACCTGTTAAACTCAAAACATGAAACAAGAGTCCATGACAGGTAGAGAGTCCACAACACCACACAATTCAAGGGTCCTAAGATCACTAATTCACTCAATCAGCCAACACAATATGAAGAAGCAATGAGACTTCTTAAATGCATCAACATCCTCCATAGTGCTACACTACCTCCCTAGGTTGCATATTACTATAAAGACTGTCAATTCAAAGCATACTGAGCAGGCAATTGCACGGAAACACGTACTTGGAGCCCTCAAATTTAAAAATTTGGACAGTGGACTAGGCTCCAAGCACACAAACAGATCTAATGCAGTCAAAAGATAAACATCAAATTCCCCCACACTTAAGATCGACATTGCCCTCAATGGAGAAGAGGGAAGGAAAAGAGGAACGATGTTACCGGTATACACGGACTGCAGGAGACTGGAAGCGAACCAGTCGGAGTGAAGCGGACTGGAGAGGGACCAGTCTGGAACAAAGCACAGCTAAAGGGGAACATAAGAGCTCAAACACAATATGTTAGGTCCAATGGTCAGCCCAATAATACATCATCCAAAACAAAAGAAAACAAACCAAAACCAAACCGGTTTACAATTCGACTCAAAACACAAGAAAGAAAGTCAAACCGTGGTGGGGTTACCTCCCCACAAGCGCTTCTTTACCGTCTTTTAACTGGACGCCCATGGTGGATACTCAGGGAGGTGCAGGGACAGGTGCCTCCAAGAGCGGATCCACGTCGCTCTTGAGGTACAGCTTCAGGTTGTGGCCATGCACCCGACGGATGCGACCACCATCATCGGTCAGCTCGACCTGGCCATCCGGCAAGATGCAGGCGAGTGAGTACCCGGACGGCCAGGGTGGTCGTGGTGCAGGAGGTGGGACCAGCTCGTAGTGGTCTCCACCCTTCTTCCGTGCAGGCTTAGCAACCTGCTGCTTCGGCCGCCACTCCTCCTTGATCTTTTTGTTCGGAGGCGAGGCTGGATGGAGTGGCGGCGAAGGAATGATAGGAGGGTCCTGCAAAATGGGAGGTGCAGAAGGATACACGACAGGCTCGTGTACCTGATCAGAAAGGGCATGCACAGGTGTGACAACAATCATAGCACAGTGATCAAATTCAGTCACAGAAAAAGTAGCCTGTTCATTCCCAGCACGCAGAATCAGTTTACCATCATGCACATCAATAAGTGCCTTGGAGGTGGCAAGAAATGGTCTACCCAGAATCAAAGGCACATCCACATCCTCATGTATATCAAGAATAACAAAATCAACAGGATATGTGAATGCACCGACACTGACAAGCAGATCCTCTATGATTCCCCTAGGATGCACAATGGAATGATCAGCCAGCTGAATGCTCATCCTAGTAGGGCTAAGTTCACCTACGTCTAGCTTTTTATACAACTTATATGGCATGACATTTATGCTAGCGCCTAGGTCCGCAAGGACTTGCCTACATGCATGCTGCCAATAGTAAGAGGGATAGTAAAACTCCCTGGATCCTTGCGCTTTTCGGGCAGCTTGTTCTGCAGGATAGCAGAACACTCCTCCCTCAGCAACACTGTCGAGAGATCCCCAAGTTTCTTCTTGTTGGTGAGGAGATCTTTCATGAACTTCGCGTACTTGGGCATCTTCGACAGTGCCTCCACAAACGGCATGCTGATGTTGAGCTGCTTCAACATTGCCATAAAATTGGCAAACTTAGTCTCCAACTTGTCTTTGTGTAGGTGAGTGGGGAAGGGAAGCTGGGGTACATGCTCCTTAACCACTGGTTGTGGCTTGGGAGCAGGGGCTTCCTTCTCCACCCGCACTTCTGCATCGTCGGCTGGAAGTGCTGAAGCAGGTAGTGGTTCCTCCTATCTGGCCAGGACAGGATCAACAGATATGGTCTTACCGCTCCTGGTAAAAATGGCATCCAGCTGCTGGAGCTGGTGAGGATCCCGAGGATTCGGGATAGTGGTGGCAGGCAGAGTCCCCGGTGCCCTGGTAGTGCTTTGGCGGGCCAAGATGCCCACCTGGGTCTGCAGATCTTGCAAAATGGCACCCTGGTTCCGCGGACCTGCCTCCAGTGACGTGATAGCAGCCTGAGTGCTAGTCATGAATGAAGCTAGAATATTTTCCAGCTTTGTCATCCGGTCATCTGGGGCAGGGGCTGCTGCTGGCTCGACAAACTAGCGCTGGGGCTGCTGGAATGGTTGCCCCTGCCTAGGCTGGTAGGGTTGCTGCTGTGGGGCTGGCCCCTGTCGAGCCTGGAAGGGCTGCCTCTGCTGAAAACCACCTGCTGGTGCTGGGAAACCAGGTGGTTTAGTGGTGTTGCTGCTCCAGGCGAAGTTGGGATGCTAGCGCCACCCCTCATTATATGTGTTGCTGTACGGGTCGAGGCGCCGGGCATTGGCGATGAAGTCCAACTGCTCTTGGGGAGTAGTAGACTCCCTCATAGCCTAGCAGTCTTCCACTAAGTGATTCGAGCTCTCACACCACTGACATTGAGCAACTGGAGGTGTAGCCAAACCTCTGCCCGGAATAAGACTGTTGGGCTGCCTCAATGTCTGCACTAGCTCAGCTACCTGCTGCTCGAGCCCGGATCTGGTCTCCATGGCGCGCACACCACGGTCCCGGGAATGTCTGCCTCGGCTACCCTGTCCCCAAGAATGATCTCTGGCAGCCAAAGTACTGATCATCTGGTTCAGCTCGGGTGGGGTCTTAGTAAGAATATCCCCTCTAGGGCATAAAGACTCAATCACCCTCTAGCTATCTGGGGAGAGAGCACTGTAGAAGTTCCCCACTGTGAATGCATCACTAAAGCCATGGTGGGGACACTGCCAGAAATAGCCCATGTACCGCTCCCATGCATCACGAAGTGACTCATCTGGCTCTTGGCGGAAGTGAGTGATCTCCCGCTGGATCTCTGTAGTCTTCGATGCCGGATAGTACCTGTGCACGAATTTGTCAGCCAGATCGTCCCAAGAGATGATGGACAATGGGGGCTGGGTCTCCAACCACCTCTTAGCATTCCCCACCAGAGAATGGGGGAAGAGATGAAGGCAGATTGCATCATCCGGGACACCATTCAGCTTGAACCCGTTCGTCAACTGCAGAAAACGGGAAAGATGCACCCTGGCCTCCTCATCCTTCAAGCCATGGAACTGGATAGAAGATGTAATGAGCTGAATCCAGCATGGCTTGATCTTGAAGTTGTTTGCTGGAATAGGCGGGTAGAGGATGACCGGGCGGATGTCAGCAATCCGAGGAGTGTAGTAGTACTCCAAGGTGGGGCCCGGCGGCGGTGGATGATGAACCCCATGATCCTGGGGTATGGGGTTGTTCCCCAGGACCTGATTCACCGGGGGAACCTGCTGAGGATTCCCCTTCTGTTTTGGCTGAAATCTGCTTAAAAAGGCATCAGTGGCTAAAGCACGGTCGAGGGAACGACCGTGTAATGCCTCAGCCCGCCCGTGCTTTGGCTAGGGTTAATTACACGGCCATTGTGTTGGGAGAAACACGGGCGTGTTTGATGATGGACACGACCGTGCTTTGGTGGACACGGCCGTGCTTTCAGCCCGTGTTTGCAGCTTGAATTTGCCAAACTCAATTAGCTCTCGGCAGTAAAAGCACGGCCACAGAACACGGCCGTGTTCTGTTTTAGGTATGCCCGTGTTTTGACCCCAGCTCGACGAAATGACTTCCAAATGTCCCGAAACTCGTGCTTAGCCTTTCCTTTGACGCTTGGGACCTGAAATATGACAAAATAGCACAACCCGGCGTAAAATAGGCCAAAAATACACGACTATGCCCCTCAAACGGATAAGAACTAGGGGCGCAAATATGTGCAATTACATCATTATCACATAAATAAGAGATATAGAATGCACAAACAATACAATGATGGTCTAAATAAGCTGCATAGCAAATCCATGCGAACTTAAGCAGAACCATGACTATGGTTTGATTCCATCTGCAAGACATGATATCAGTTATCAACTGATGTGGAATCTTTGAATTGGCTACAATAAATGAAACTCCCAAATGATACTTAATGTATGATAGGACAACTGAATAATCACCCAAAATCATCAAATGATTAACATCATACACAAAATAGACTAAGAAATAGCTTGTACCTTCAATTTCAATACACAAAATACAGCAAGCAGTCAAATTTCTTACTTTTGTAATGCACAATATCAAAATCAGCAGCAGTTGTGAACCATGAGCAAATCATAGAAGCAATAGAGCCTTGAAATGGTCGCCAGTCAACAACTCATGCCTGCAACACAAAGAGAAAGAAGAGGATTATCAAATATTAGTGATGATAATTAAACAGCAGAAACTTCATGTATGAATATATTAAAAAACAACTGAGATGACACAATGAAGTAATTCCCATCCAGGCATGAGTGCCCTCTCATATAACTCATATTAAAACGTGAACTGATGCTGAGCGGAGGGCACTCACCAGCCTGCCCTTCCAGCTCTACTCCGAACCCTCGCCAAACTTTCGAAATACTATTCGATCAAACTCGAACACCGCCTTCAATACCTCCCAGCGAAAATCGGAGAAAAGAGGAAGAAAAAACCAGTTAATTACCGAAACAAAATGAGCGTGAAATTACCAAAAAAAATAAAATACAACACTCTTGGTGTAACGTTGAACTATTGAACTTGTCACATGGCAGCCCT